ACCATGTTGTATTTTTTAATCACATTTGTTTCTCTACACAAAATACAGTACTCTCTTCATTTTACAGATGAGATAACAAAGGTAAGAATGATCATTTAGGTCAAAGGCAGAGTTAAAGCTCAAACCCTATCTTTTGACTCTAAGTTCAGTGGCTTATTGCCTATTTTCCATACCATAGTCTCAGGGTGTTAAACAAGTTTACACTAATATTCATACTTGTAATTTACATTAAAAAATAAAACTTAAAGGTTCTCGAGGAATAAGTATTCCTCCTTTTTTTGCAGCCTGGGTGTAGGGTAAAGAAAATATCAGGCTTTTCTGCCCTTCCGCCATCAGGATAGATGATGGATCCTTGTCCTGAATGCATGCCTGATGGTGGGCACCTGGAATAGGGTGTGGGCATAGGTAGATGGGATTCAGCTGAGCTAAGACTGTGCTTTTAAGGGCGGCGTCACGGGGGGACGCCAGCAGCACCAGCACCAGCAGCAGCAGCAGCCGCCGCAGCCGAAGCCGAGAAGCAGCAGAACGAACGCTAGAGAGCCCAGATAGAGTGAAGACTTGCTGGGGGCTGGGAGGCCTGCCAGCCTCCCAGCCCCCCAGCCAGCACCCCTGCCTGCCATATGCCTGGTGAACCCCAAATAAAAAACCTGCAAAACTACTGAGGACTCTGACTCCTCCTTTGCCCGGTCTGCATGGGATCAGAAAACCTGCACCTGTGCCCGGTCCTGGCCTTACAATTGGCGTAAGTCGGCAAGATCCATGCAGACGGGTATTGGAGCCCTCCGAAGACCTGGAGGGACTAAGGAGAAGAGACTGTTTGCCTGTGATGATGCTGGAGGTGCCATGGCGGCACAGAAGATGGATACGTCCACGAGCTATAGGATGAGACCTGGCGTGAAGGAGACGCCCGAAAGGACCAGCCAACGACACCGGAAAGGACCAGCCAACGACACCGGATAGGACCAGCCAACGACACCGGAAAGGACCAGCCAATGACCCCTGAGGCAGCAGGCCATTGCTGAAGCAGGGAGAGGCCAATGGACTGATAGACTGATGAACTGATGATTTTGGACTGACAATCCCGCCAGAAGGCGGAGGACCTTAGCAGGTTATGTTTATTTTTTGAGAATCTGGGGGTGGCCAGTGGGCCTAGATGGCCAAAAGCAGCCTGTGTATGCCCAGTGGCCAGGTGGAGGAGAAAAGCCAACTAAGGTGGCAAAAGCTGGTACTGATGCTAAGTTGAGAAGCCCTAAAGCGGCTGTTAAGCAGCCTGGGTATGCTGAAGCCCTGTGAGTCTCGTAAAATCACCTATGGGTGATGCCCTGCTCATTCTTGAGTGAGGGTGAGGAGCTGAGGAGCCCGTCCTTGTGGGACGGGTGGGGAATGTGGCTTGGGGTGGAGCCCAAGCCAAATGCAAAGTTTGGATCCCCAACCCATGTGCTTGTGCAGTGGGTTGGCTTGAGAGCAGGGGTCTGTGAGTCGCATGGGTGGCCATGAAGGCCGAGTGTTGGAGCGACTGCAGACAGAAACCCTGAGGGTTGGCGATTACCCCCAACAGAATAAAATTGCCAATCCCAGAGCTAGTGCATCCTGGGGGTGGATGCTGTGTGCCTTGTAGCCTAGACTACAGCCAGAGAAGGCCAGGAAGCCTGACGGCTCCTGGTGTGATATAGTAGATGCCATGAGTGATTCCCCTCCCTCGTATGAGCAGTGCCTTCGGCAGCAGATTTGGTGGCTCATCTGCTGGTACCAATAATTGTCTTTTGCACTTGGTTGGTGCCCTGCCTGGACTTATTTGTGTTCTGTTGTATTTTGTTATGTTGTATTTTGTTATTTGATGTATTTGCTTTTGTGGGCCATGGCTGCATTGTTTGTTTGCTTAGAAAATTGTGTGTATATGTATAGACTGTATGGCAGAAAACCCTGAGGGGGTGGACTGTAGGGTAAAGAAAATATCAGGCTTTTCTGCCCTTCCGCCATCAGGATAGATGATGGATCCTTGTCCTGAATGCATGCCTGATGGTGGGCACCTGGAATAGGGTGTGGGCATAGGTAGATGGGATTCAGCTGAGCTAAGACTGTGCTTTTAAGGGCGGCGTCACGGGGGACGCCAGCAGCACCAGCACCAGCAGCAGCAGCAGCCGCCGCAGCCGAAGCCGAGAAGCAGCAGAACGAACGCTAGAGAGCCCAGATAGAGTGAAGACTTGCTGGGGGCTGGGAGGCCTGCCAGCCTCCCAGCCCCCCAGCCAGCACCCCTGCCTGCCATATGCCTGGTGAACCCCAAATAAAAAACCTGCAAAACTACTGAGGACTCTGACTCCTCCTTTGCCCGGTCTGCATGGGATCAGAAAACCTGCACCTGTGCCCGGTCCTGGCCTTACACTGGGTGACCAACATCTAGACAAAAAAGAGGGAGTTAAGTCTGCTGCCCCTTATCCTTAAAGTGAGTTTAATATGCTTGTTAAGGGTAGCAGTATCTTTGGTGCAGTGAGGAAAACTATGAACTCCACGGCCAGACTTCCTGCGCTCATATCTGAGCTCCTTCACTAGTAGCTGCATGAGCTTGGAAAAGTCGCTTTCTATCTCTGTGCTTCAGTTTCCTCATCTTTAAATTCTGTGTCATAATTGCACCTAACTCACAGGTGGCTGTGATGATTCAAGGGGCAATGAAATAGAGCAAACATCAATTATATTGCAAAGGCCTATGATTTATATTTCCATGTAACTAGGTTCTTGCTGGCTCTTAGGAAGAAACCCACTATTCATAGCATTGTGTCTTACTGGAAAAATGTACGTTTTGTTCCAAAAACATCTACTTACAACTGAGGTTGGGAATAACTACACCATTCAAAAATTATGCGTAATTTCTGACTCCTCCTGCCTACTCTAAAGAAAGCAACTTAGTGTGTATCAGAATAAAATCATAATTATTTTGGGGTTAGTTCTTGGTAGGTATATTTTGTACCTTTTTGTTTCATTGGTTGCAATTGTTTCAAATTGAATTGGAAACATCTGCCTAGGAACATGAAATTGAAGTAGATGTTTCAAATAGGGGAGCCTTTTTAAAATGGCCTCAATTGGGCCTCCCCTGGTGGCACAGAGGTTGAGTGCTGAGCTGTGAAGCTGCCTGCAGCCTCTGCAGAGCCGGTTCGATACCCAGTAGCTGGCGAGGGTCCCACATGACACGAAAGACCTCTCCTGCCGCACCCACTGCTCCCCTCAGCAGTGTATTTCAGTTGTCTGCCTGTTCTATTCCCCACTCTGGCTCTGGTGAATTCTCTCACCTTCCCGCGCTTCTGACTATACCCAGTGCTTTTATAAATAAATAAATAAATCTTTTAAAAAAATGGCCTCAATGAAGATTATAAATTCTTCTGTTCACATCCATGAACATGTGGATATTTAAAAATATAAATCATCTTTAAAAGCAATGTCCTTGGTAACAATAAGAATGAAAAGGGCCTGTAAGTGACATAATTGCATTAGCGCAATTGTGAGGACAATTCTTCTGTTCATACCTGGAGGATCAATGGCAGCATTATGTCAATAACAAGTCTGACTTGTTACTTTTTTGGCTGAACTATTAAAAAAGTAAATGAAGTGAATGTATTTATTGTGTTTGGAGCTGCATATTTTTGACATTTTCTTGAGGATTGGAAGACATTTGTTAGAAATTACAAGTAGTTAATATATTTTATATAAATATTGTATTTATATTTGGAAATGTGGAAACATTTCTCCTGGGTAGGAGTGAGTTTAATGAGTAGTGGTTATTCACTTTAGTTTTATAACCTCATGACTACATTTTAATGTCAGGGGCCAGCTCTTCCTTGCTCATGCCTATTTCATAACTTTTAATACTATGTACGTGGCATATGGTAACCACTTAGTAAAAAATCTGTGGAAACTAGGCACTACTACTCTTTCTCAGGCCAATGGAAGTAGGACCATGGGAGTATATTTTGAGATGTCTTTTTCTAGCAATGACTATAGAGACATCTGCTGGCATTTGCTGGCATTGCAATTCAAGACTGAAAAAGCAAGAATAAAGACTAGAGGTGGATTTCTCTTTTCTTTTCTTCCTTTGTCCATGTTCTGTTATAAAAGTCCCGTGAAAGAGTTGAAATCACCTATGATGTGTTTAGTTTGAGTAGGATATGGTGTATACCAAAACTAGGGTAAATCAAAAACTTTGTTTTCAGTTGACTAAAAAGCATCAGATTTAAAAAGAAAAAAAAAAAACACACACAAAGGACTGACTAATCTTTCTGTGGTCATCTGATGGTAAGTTATTCAAGATTTACATTACAAAATCCAGAACAGTGGACCAGTAAGTGAAATTACTATGTCTGTTGCTTATCTTAAATTTGAGGAATTATTATTCTCATTTACCTGAGAGTCATACACTATACAATGTCTTCGTGACACTCAATACCGCTCCAAGTCCATTTTCCTCTTTCCTTGGTCTAATCTTATATATGATAGGTTCATTAACTTATATAGCAGCTGGAAGTAATAATTTTGGGTTTTGTTTTGTGAGCCAAAGAGATTTTGGCTAACACTTCAGACTATCTCATTCTTCCTGGCTCCAGGGGTTTCAGAAGGCTGGTTACTAACTCAGTCCTAGAGTGACCTCTTGCTGCATGATTTGTACATTAACCTGCAATTGCCAAGACAGAAACCTCTCTGTGCGAGAAAGTGTATGCATTTACATGCATTCAATGAATTAATAGATTTTAAATATTTCCATACTCCTGTAAAACTACTAACTTTCCCAGTCTCCAGCAGTAATAAAAAGAAAATTCTTCTTCAAAATAAACTGTATGAGTTTGTGATATAGTCTATCAATTTATCCTCTTAATTTTTGTTTGAAAAAGAACAAAAACAACAATTTGTTTGAAAAAGAAAAAAACAATTTTTGTTTGAAAAAGAACAACTTTCCTAATCAGATATGTTCTGAACATTCTATACAGGACTATTGAATAAGCAAAATAATTTACAGTTGAGGTGTTGCAGAGTTCCCTGTTGGGTCCATGATTTGAAATTCCATGATATCTGAATTTACTTCCAAAGATGGGTTTATGATGTAGAGAATGGTCTTACTGTTTAAGTCCTTCTGACTAAATTTCTTGTGGATAACTTCACCTACAAAAAGAATAAATGAGTTTCATGAGTAATCTAACAAAATATTCAATAAAATTGTTTAAAATTGTACATCTCTTTTATTTTAAACATGGTTTTAAAACAGCCAAAGTGTATTTTTTAAAGAAATTACCATTATTGTAACTACCTTCAAACTCAAATGCAATGAACTTAAATTAGGCTTTAAACTTTACTTTATCCCAGAAATATTGTGCCTTAAAGAAAATACAAAAACAGGAGAGGACAATAACAAAATCTGCAATTCTATGCCATTCTGTTTCGTGATCTAACTTGATACCGTCTTCATAAAGCACAAATAATAAACAATGCACAAAAATCATTATGCACAAAAAAACACCCAATTCAGAATTTTCTAAACTAACTGCTTGACATCATTTAGAATTCATGATTAAAAAATTAGTTACAAATTTGAGATTGGTCCTCATACTGTGTGTTCCTCCTGATATATTACAGTCAGGCTATTGAAAATAACTTAGAAACAATAAACAGCTATGGACCAGTATTTCATTCTCCCACTCAAAATGAATTTGGGAAAGTTCAGCATCAAGCCTTCTGTAGCACCAATATTTGTTTATAAACTACATCTATCAGTAAGCCCAAGAGAGTGTCTACCAAATGGGTTTCCACTTAAATTACTCTCTAGCATCAGCAGCTACTGGGTATTTTAAAATGAATAATTACAAGGATTAAAGAAGTCAGTACCTGTGGTTGTGTTCTCCAGATGTCCATGTTGGGGTGCTTGTAAAATCTTAAAGATGATATGATCATCATCAGTGTCAGGATCCGATGCCTTCAACACCCGGGAAGAAATATAAATCCCATAACAGCCATTTTTCAGGAGCACCACTTGAGAAGGGGGGTGCAAGTGCGTGATGTGAGGGGGTGTTTTGTCCTGCTGGTCCACCTGAATCATCAATAATCATATAAATTATTATATAGAGGCTCTGCATCCCGATGCATAGGACTTTAAAGAGTCAACAAACTTCCCAAATTTCAAATTTTCATTCCCTTTAATTGCTAATTTCTGCTAAAAACTGTCTTCTTCACCATTTCTTCAGCAACTGTCATGATGCCTAAAAGAGAATCCAATTTTCCACTGCAAACTTTGACCTTCTTTCATGTGTCTGTTGTCTAACTCCCCCACTAAGACATAAGCCCCATGAGAGCAAAGACCAGGTCTTTTTTTTCTTCTCTATTCCCTACTGCTGGCACAGTGCCTGAACCATAACAGAAGCTCTAGGAAAAGTTGTTGAATGACAACAGTAAAACTGACCCAGGAATTGTATTGCCAGCTTAATGTTAGCTGCACAGGATTCCCCATTTTCCTAGTATTTGGTAATTTATAGTAACAAAGTTCTAAGGTTTTACAAATGCATTAAACATTTTTTAATGTATCTTTGTTCAAATGGCCTAAGTATTAATAAAAATACTTCAACAAGAAAAAAAATGTCAGGTGATCAGTTATAGGTATTTGTGCATTTGTTTCATTGAGGATGAGAACCAAGTTAACTAAACGGGCAGATTCAATTTGTGAAGATGGTGGATGGATAATTACTCACTCATGAGTAAGAAGAAAAATATAGGTTCAAATTCTACACCATCTAATTAGATGTGTCAGCCATCCAGGTCGGGCATGGAGGGCAGTCCTTATTGCAAATGATTATTGTAGGTTACAGAGGAAGTATGTTTAGCACAATTTACCACTGAAACTAGAAAACAGGTACAATAACAATGCTGTCTTCATTCCCTTTACTCCTAATCATTCATTTACTCAAAAATAATATTATGGGAATCTCAGTTCACATTAGCAAAGAAAAGAATAATTGTTAATGACAAGGCCTATATATTGTTTGTATGATAACATAAAAGAATTCTCTGCAACTATTAAAAAGATTAAGAGAATAGATGAATCATTAAAAAAATTCCACAAAATCAATAACTAGCTAAGTATAGGGGGGTTTTAATGCTAGATTTCCCTTGAAAACCAAATACCTTTGGTGACCACTTGTTTTTTAAAAAAAACATTATTACCTAAACTCTTGTTACATGTTTCCTTTTGTGTCTTTACTCATATTTGTAATAAAATGTATCCTAATATTATTAAATGTCCAGCTTCTTCAAAAGCAGGTCTTTGGCTCAGTATACTAAAAGCATTTTTAAAAGATTAGAATACAAGACATTTTATAAAAGGAAAGGCTACACTCTTGTAATCACTTGTATTGTATTTTCTGAAAATCATCTCAGACTTGCCTAAACTATAGGAAGCAGGGACTGGTTGACCCTTTCTCCCTCACCTCCAACTGCACCCGCTTTTAAGGAAGATCACAGGAATGACTGCTGCAAGATTTCATTATCTTGGTCAGACAGACACGATTTCCTGTATAATAAATGTCAGATTAGTGTCTACTGGTATCAGTGAAATGCACCTGTGTTTTACACTTGACAAGTCTTGAAGCTTTACCCTTCCTTGCTTACCCCAATTGGTACATTTAGAGTGGTATACCCACACTTGGGAGATTTATTTGGACAGAGTCATCACTTTGAGGTGGTTAATATCATATTGCCTTGCCAAAAAGAGACTGAAGGGGCATCTCCCCCACTGCTGATGGGGACCAGTCACTTTCTAAATGGCTTGAGCACTCAACTCAAAGAAATTGGGGAGCTGGAATTATGGGTGAAAATGTGAGGCTCTCCCTGTGAGGCTTTTAACCATGTTTTTGTTTTTTTGGCATGGAAATCCTTGCGAATCTTTACAACATATATCCAACATTTTTCTATCAGTAAATTCTGTAACTTGTAGTGGGTACCTCTCTATGATAACTATGTTCTGTAAGATGAGTATTGATATTGGAAAGACTTGATTTAAATTCTAGTACTTCTCTACACTCTACACCTTTCCTTCTCTTCTCTGGAGTATAGGAAAGAACACTTGTGTCTGCACTCATAATGGATAACTCCTACAAATACAGCCAAGTAGACCCCCAGAAGATTATTCTTGGTTGGACAGCACAATGACATTCCCCTACCTAGTGTGGGGAGTCAGGAATCAAGAAAATGACTATTAATACACTAAAAAGTGTGAGTAATAGCATTAAAATATATAACAAAAACCATAATTATGTTACTGTATAAACAGTACTTCTCACACACCATGTCAGTTCTAGCAATATCTTCTGACTTCTTCCAGTACACCATTATTTCATTACATTTCCTAAAGCTCTCTACTGCCAAAGATTCATGATGTATGCATTATATATTATCATGACTCCCTCACCTTTCTACTCAGATCCTACCTTAAATAGAGACCATGATGACTAATTTTTGTGTCAATTTGGTTAGTCTATAATGTCCACTTGTTTGGTCAAACACCCAGCTAGATATTGCTGTGGAGGTGTTTTTTTTAGATGTTTCTCCTTAGCTTTGTGTTTTTTTTTTAACACACACACACACACACACACATATATATCCATTTATATTTTCCTTAGAAAGGGATATATATATATATATATATATATATATATGTTTTTGTGGAGGTATTTTTAAGAGTTGATTAACATTTATGAGCTCACATCAACTCTCCAACATTTAACTATGTAGGTTTTATCCTGTCCTTCCTCCCGTTTAGTGTTTTGTTATTGACTCATAATATTCTTGTTCGTGCTTCTGATTTCATATTCCTATTGTCATTTGACTCAGAGTTTTGTGTTTTGTTTTTTTCTTGTAGAATGCCTTCCAACATTTCTTGTAGGGCAGGTTTGATGCTTATCAACCCCATTTACTTCTATTTGTCTAAGAAAGCCTTTATTTCACTTGCATATCTGCATGATAATTTTGCAGGATAGAGTATTCTTGGCTGGCAGTTCTTGTCTTTTAGGATTGTGAATACTTCATTCTACTCTCTTCTTGCCTGGAGGGTGACTGGGGTGAAATCCAAGGAAAGCCTAATTTGGATGCCTTTTTATAATATCTTCTTTTCTCTGGATACCTATAATTTTTTCTGTATCTTTGATTTTTGATACTTTAATAATGATGTGTCTTGGTGTAGGTCATTTTGCATTTAGATTGATTAATATTTAAATCAGTAAACTGTGACTATAGCAGACTACCCTCCATAATGTGGTGGATCTTATCCAAACAGTTGAAGGTTATAAGAGAAAACATTAAACTCCCCTAAAGAGAAAGGAATTCATCCTCCAGACTGCCTTTGAAGTCAAGACAACAACATCAACTGCTGCTGAAATTTCCAGACTGCTGTCCTGTCCTGTATTGTCAGACCCCAATTGCATCAGCCAAGTCCTAAAAATAAATCAATCTTCTCTCTCTCTCTCTCTCTCTCTCTCTCTCTCTCTCTCTCTCTCTCACACACACACACACACACACACACACACAACTATTGGTCCTATTTCCCTGAAAAACCCTGACCAACCAACCCAAAAACTAAAGAGAAAGAGAGTATTATGATTACTTTATATAATGAGAATGCATCTTGAAGTAACAAATAGCTTTATCTTCTTTATGGTTAGTGGAATTATGTAGAATAGGGTGAACCAAGGAGCATGGATTCAAGAGTCTGAGAATGAGAGCATAGATGATGCATTTTGACTAAAAAAGAAAAAAACATTATGTCCTCCAAAAATCATCACAGTAGTCAACACAAATGAGGTGGTTTATTGCCAGAGAAGAGACATATATGTCTGGGATCAGAAAAACTTGAGTCTTTTATGTATTGGACCAAATACATAAACTGAACTGAATATTATAAATTTGAGATTATAAAACTTACCTCATAGGATTTTTATGAGAGCTAAATGAGATTTATGTAATGTGACACTCCAACAATTATAGCTTGCTACAAGTATGTTCCTTCCCATTATTACATGTGAAATGATGCTGCTTTATAGGTTTTTATGTGTTTAATTGAAAACCATTAAAATTGCATAGACCAACAAGCATTAGCATAATATATAGTTAGGTATCATGAGTAGTTACAAGATACAGAATATTTACTATATGTAAGATAATATGCTACATAGTCTTATTTAATTCTTGCTGAAATTATTTTACAAAGAAAGAAAAGTATAATCAGAAGAGTTAAAGAATTGTTTTGAAGGCCACACAACAAAAAAATGACAAAACAAAAATTCCAAATTTTGCTGTTTTTTGTTCTACCACTGACTCTTGAGGTCAGTCATTAGCCTCTATGCAGGGACTACATCTGCTTTGCTCATATTAATGTGCCTGGTGCCTTGTATAATGGTTGGCATGCTGTAGAAGCACAGTACATATTTGAATGAAAGAAAAGGAAAAATCAGTTCTCTTTGAAGTCATTTTTTCCACATCTCTGACAATGAATTGTATATTTATCATACTAACCTGGATGGTGAATGAAACAGGGTCTTGCCACACTCTCCCATCCACAATAAAGCCTTGGTTTGTCCTGTCTGTGGCCACAAAAGTGAAGTGGTCAACCTGGGAGTCCCCTCCCAAGTGGCTATAGGCCACATTCTTGCTGTCCACATCTTGTTGAGTAAAGTTGTGTTGAAGCAGTATTGTCCCCCTCAGGTAGAGTTGGCCATACTGGGGGAGCTGAGCCACAAGGAAGGTGAGGTTTTCTGCTGCTGTGTCAGGATCTGTCAGCTGAAGGAGGTCAGAGGAAAGCAGGCCCATGGCCCCTTCGGCTACTCTCAGCCCCTTGTTCCTGGTCACCACAGGTAAGGCTCTGTCCACAGTCTCCACTGTGATCTCAAATACCCCGTGCTTGGTCTGCAGTCCATTGCTGATGATGAATCTGGCAAAGAGAGGCAAGGTAGCCTTCAGCATGGATTCTGGTGTCACCATCTACTGGAATGAAATGATAACAATACACACCTTTACTAAAGGACATGCTGTATTGTGACTCAAATGAAAACTCAAGGGCAATTCTTTCAGGACACCATTCTGTGCATTAATGCAGTTGCCAGTTAACACACAAATTAACCATTCTACACCCCAAAGTATTTTCTCAGCAACATTGTGTTTCTCAGCTCAAGTGATGGAGCAGGCTAATCCTGCCAATACTATTTCCCAAGTTGTTGGTACTTAGTATAGTTCCTTGCCCCAAATAAGCATTTCACATCTAATTAGACCCATTGCATGAGTTTGAAGAGTACACTCATTTTATATATTTACAACTGGCAATGTATTTTCTTGGCATTTAATAAGTTAAATTGTTAAAATATTATGAAGCCTATTTTATTGTATTCATAAATTTTCAAGGTAAATTTCTTTTTTTTTTTTAAGATTTATTTTTATTTATTTATACAAGCACTGGGTACAGTCAGAAGCATGGCAGGGTGAGAGAATTCACCAGAGCCAGAGCGGGGAGCAGAGCAGGCAGAAGGACCAAAGTACACTGCTGAGGGGAGCAGCGGGAGGCAGGAGAGATCTGTGCGCCATGTGGGATTCCCCCTGTGGTGGCCGGGGAGCAGCCAGGGATCAAACCGGTGCTGCAGAGGCTGTGGGCAGCTTCGCAACCCAGCGCTCAACCGCTAGGCCACCAGGGAGGGCCCTCAAGGTAAATTTCTTAAGAAGAGCTCTTTAATCTCCCCCCTTTTTATTTCATTTTTTAAAAGATTTATTTATTTATGCACAAGAACTGGGGTACAGGCCAGAGCTGCTGGGGGTGGAGGATTCACCAGAGTAGAGTGGGGAACAAACAGGCAGATAGGTTGAAATACATTGCTGAGGGGAGCAGCAGGCGAAATAGGAGAGGTCTGCTGAGCCATGTGGTTAGATCCCTGGCAGGACTGAGAACAAACTCAAGTTGCAGAGGCTGCAGATAGCTTCGCAGTGCTGTGCTTAATTCCTTGTGCCCCCAGGGAGGCCCCATCTCCCCCTTTTTAAACCTCCTTTGCACTATCTTTTGTAAAGTAAAAGATGGACTACATAAGTCTAAAACATCATAGGATGTGCTAATCCATTATATTTTCTTGTGTTTCTATATTCACACCTATTAAGATATATGCAAGCTATCCTGGAAAAGGATTAGTTCCCTGCTTTAAAGGAAAGAAATTTATAGCAGAAAGGTCCAGAAACTTGGTGGAAGAGTACAAGGTAGGGAGGAGAACTCAGGTTTTTGACCTCATACCGCTGCTCTTATAGTTTTTAATAAATGCCTGCTCAGCAATCCACTTAGAAAATGCTGTCAGGCCTGATCACTGCCATAGAACTCTAAAGAGAAAGCTGAAATGACACAAATGGAAGGTAAGCACATTCTCTCTCACTAGTGTGGATTTGTGATACCAGCATGTGCTTCTGGTTACACTGATCAGTAAATCACATTCTGCCCACCACTGCCAATCTCAAATTAAAACTAATTTAAGTTATCTTTAGAAATTTTCAAAATGTAATTGCTAAGGATAATTGAGAGTATTAATATCTTAAGCAAACAAAACATACTATTAAGCTGGAAAAGTTAGGAAATCATTACTTTTAAGTGGAACTGACAAATTCAACACAGATCAAAAAAGTGCACTTTGAAATAATTGCAGAGTTGCGTCTAATAGTTTTTCCCATGCACCATAGTGCTAGAAATATTCATAGAGAATACACTCTTTACTCCATGGATATAAAACTAAAAATAAAGTTAGTGGAATATAACACTGACTTATGTAAGAATGTTTTGGAAGGTTCTTTTACTTAGAGAAGAGATGGGGTTTATATTTATTTTACTAATCCAATAAAGTTGACCAGTGAGTTATTAATACTTTGTAACATGTGGCCTGTCCTGTCCTTCAGTATTTGAGGATTGATGTTTACTTCTGACCACAAAGGAACCTGATACCAGATTGTCTGAGCGCAGTGAGTCAAACAGCTTGCCTGGAGCAAAGGACTCAGGAGGAAGAGCTTAACAAAGCTGGACAAAAAGTAGAGGAAGATGTATTTGAGTGAGTACAGATTTTGCTTTGAAGGCTAGACTAACCCTTTTCAGCTTTGTAGCTATCTAGTTGATAAGACTGTCTATAAGGAAAATATGATATGATAGAAAAAAGAATCTATGTCTGAAAAGTTAAAAGTGTTGTGAAATATAACATAAAGCAAATTTTGCTATTTCATACACCTAGATTTATAAAGAATACAACCTGTTTCCTACTCCTCTCCACTACCACCACTGCATTGTTTCTACTTTGAATAAAGGTATTGAATTAAATTTAAAATTTTGATTAAGCAAAATCACATCATTTTCTTTAAAAAAAAACAGCTTTTCTTTGGTAAGTAAAACTTTTCATAAATATGTGCTCAGGAAACTTCATTGCTGGATCATGAAGTACTTACAACGTTTATTAATTTGTAAAATTAAAAAAAAGAACAGCACATTCAGAAAAATATGCATGTTCAACTTTTAGTCCCATCAACAGTTTCAAAAGTCAAGTGATATGCACTTTTAGTTATAAAAGTCATGTTCTATTTCTCAGGGAAAATTTTTCATGAAATTATGCCATTATTCCATTGTTTCCTTTTATTTTTTTCATGTTTCGTCTCTGTAGCCTCAAATCTGACACAAGATAATATAACGAGGAAGCAAGGTATTCCCTCATTGCCTCTAATTTCTCCTTTTTCTGCTTCACACATCCAGACAAAATTATGTTTCATGCTTCCTTTTTACCCTCTTTCACAAGTAAAGTGACTCTCCATTCCTTTCCAGACCCCCATATCAAAATGTGCCCTGTGAAGAGTGTTAAACCAGACATTTATAGTATAGCATAATTTTAAGCCATAGGACATGTATTTTCAGCATTAGCATTAATTGTGGAATTAAAGACTTGGTTCCCATTAAAGACATTTCAAGTATTGGTAGGAAAGATAGGAAAAGGAAAGGGGAAATAAAGGGAGAGCCACGAATGTGGGGCAAAGAGTATCTGATTCCAACTTTCCTTTCTGGAGACTGAATTTGAAAATTTCCTGAGTGGGTCCTCAAAGTTCAGTCTCAGGACAGCGGCCTTTATCTACGCATGCATGACCTATGTGAGAGCACTCAAGTTGACTCATGGTCCAGGTTGCCTATGTCAAACTCCTTCCTGAGTGATGGTAGGGAACCGACATGCCGGAACTCGGCAGCGTGCCATCAGACAGATGGGAGTGAGGGCAAGCGGGCCAGGGACCATCTAAGAGTAAGAAATATGTTTACTGAGGTCAGTGTTCTCAGCTGAGGCACCAAGGCAGCTGTCTGCACTGAACTAAAGCTAATAAGCCAGTGGTGAAAAGGATGCAATTTTTAAACATGACTGGATCAAAAACATCATTTTGTTTTCATGATTAACAGCACAAACTATTCACAGAGACACATTATCAGAGAGAGAGCCAGGATGAACGGCCATGGTTGACTTCCCAGTCCCAAGAAACCAAGCAGAACAAGTGCAACCAGGGCTTTTCCTGTTTGCAAAGGTTGACCAGATGATCTTCTAAATGCCCCCCTCTTACAAAGAAACCCTCCAAACACATTCTCAATTTTTAAAACAACAGAGCCATTGCTATAATGGCGTCCATTCCAAGGTTAAGAAACTGGTGTGTCGAGGTAGCAGCTCCTTCTGTGGGTCCATTTTGTTTAATTTCCTTTATTCTGCCCCCTGAGAAGAGACACGGCCAAGTTGACCACTGTTCTCATGAAATTTGGGGAATGACTTTCAGATCTGTCTGGGGTGCCTGCCTGGTCTGATTTCACCATTACCATGGTGCTTTCAAGCTTTCTGCATTTCCTGGCAATAGAGTTGGCTGAAGAATCTGCCATCTGTCATGGCATTTAAAAGATAAAAATGGAATCATAAATAGAGCCAGTTCCTCAGGAAAAAAAAAAAAGTCCAGCCGGCATGTCAAAATGGAGGACATTAGCATGTTCTTTTAGTACCCGGCTGCCAGCAGCTGAAGTCAGCTTGCTAATCACTTGGTGTCATCTGTCCTAGAATGTGCTGCCAAATCTTTCTTCCAGGCCAGCAGCACCAAACAATGCAGGAGAAATTTATGATTCACAAAATATTTTTGCAGAAGGTAAAATCTGACCATTAAACTCCCCCGTTTAATTAATGCTGCCATATCTTACGTTAAAAAGAGAAAGGGGGAAAATCCACTACCATAGAATTTATCTCTTTCACCCAGCCAAATTCCTTGCCAGATTTAACAGCAAGCAACATAAATTTAGGTGGTTAGATTGGTTGCATATATTTAATTTTTAAAAAGCACCATGATCACACTTTCATTAAAACAGGCTTTCAGCTTTGGTTTAGTGCCACTTGACAAACAACACAGCAGTCCATGATAGGGTTAGTGAAATGACAAGATTAAAACGAGGTTCTCAGGCAGATGCTAGGCTCTTCCGTTATAAATATGCAAAATTGCTGGCCCAACATCAGAATGACACATTGAGGAGGTTCCTTCGCACAAGTTCATATTCTCCACAAATTTTTGGTGAAATAAGGTATGATGGAAGGAGCTCTCCAACATGAGATCTCAGTCCAAATTCAATTTTGATAGTCAGTTATGTCCATTTAGGTGACTTTCTTTACCACTTGGAACCTCGGTTTTCCCATGGATACAATGGGAACAAACCATCTCTTCAAGGTGGTAGTGCAAGAAATGGTATAAAAACAAGGGTCTAGCACACTGTCTGAAACATTGCACGTGGTCAGGCAATACTAACTTTCCCTCATATAAATGAAAAAATTGGGCTAAATCAATGTTTTTTGACAATTGTCATTTATTTTCTTCCTGTTAATCTGTTTCTTAATCTTAAATCATTCAAACAACATCTTCATAATTTTTGGTATGTTTTGGTGCTACCTGTACTTTTATTACTTAATATTTTGCTTGGTAGCAACTTACTTTTTTACTTAAATGCACTTAAAAGGAAACCTTTAGCTACCCAAAGCTGCAAGTTTTAACTACTAAAACCTTGATTACCATGAATAGTACAAAAATAAATGCAAGAAAACAATGTTTTAATTCTAGCTAGATCTTGTTGCCCAAACACTTGGTACTGAAAACTTTTCTTTGTTAAAAAGGAAAACGAGTGAATATTGAAGAATTATTGAGGATATATTGGCACCCACTTGAGAATTCCTTCTTCAAACAATCAGAAGGATTCAGAAAACTTCAAGGGAGTTACTTCTCACTCTTGATCCCCTATCATTTACTATTTCTTCCTGTACCAAACCATGTCATTTGGCATCTTTGTGACACTGGTGGTGCAAATCACTTTAAGAAACAGTGTGTCAGACTTTTTATTAACAGAAAATCTTGACCAGAAACCCAATGTGCCAAAAAACATTTAAAAACCAAAATTGAAAAAAAAAGCCATTAAAAAGCAAAACAAAGCTCCATCAGTTAATTGGGGTGAGGGTGCCAGAGGCCCATCATCAGAGTACCATCATTTGTCTCTACAAGGCCCATTGAGGGTTTCTGCACTCCTTACAGCTCCTACAAACATTCTTGGAACAATGGATTGAACCAGATCTGTGTTACTAGTCCTGACGGGCAGAGTTTTTAAAAATACAAATTCTTGGACTTTGCAAAGTCATCTCATCACAAGGATTTGTGATTTGTGTTTTTATAAATCTTCCAGATAATTCTCTTGAGGATCGAGAAAATTAGAAATTTGCTAGGATAAATGATTTCCAAAATGCCATCTATTATGAATCACTATAGATATTAATTAGGTTATTTTCACAAGATTTGACAATCCTCATATATAAAGATTTTATTTTTCATTCTCAGTTAATCATCACCAGGTGACTAATACCTAACCTTCATTTCTGAACATCCTTTTGCCTTCATTCACTGGCTCCTCCACAAAGGTTACTGGTTTCTGCAATACAAACATTAATGAGTTCAGCAGACTCTTCTGTGGGTAGTGACTGGGGGAAGAGAGACTAGACGGGAGCAAGAAGTTCCAAAATCAGGTGTAAAATTTAAAACTCTGAATCTTATATACATGGATGAAATCAAGAAGTAGCCAACATCTATTAGCAACCAGAAAAATTGTTGTTCTTTATAACTTCTTACTTCCTTCAAGATATGCTTGGTGTTGTAAGGATCAAGAAGTGGGGGAAGGAGGCTCAAGGAACAAATGTGATTAGTAGTAGTAGTAGTAGTAGTAGTAGTAGTAGTAGTAGTAGTAGTAGCAGCAGCAGCTAATAGTTATTTGGTTCCTCCTAAGATATTGTTTTAAGTACGTTACATGCATAAATCTATTTAAACCATCCCAAAACCCTTTGAGGTAGATGTCATGAGCAGCATTACTTTTCATATAAGAGAAAATGGGCACTCATAAAGGACAGAGTTGGGAGTATGGAGGCTGGAAAATAAAATAAAATGAAAAACAATTGTGGAACCATTCTCAGTCTGGGTAACAACCAACCAACTAAGCCATTCTGAGGCCAGAAGTTGTTGGAGGTCAGATCCCAGGCATGTCTGGGTACCCCAGCATTTGAGGTGTGCCCAAACTTGTCCACAAATGAAATCACAACATCAAGCCATGCCCACAATTGAAATTCAATCCCTGCTTGACAAACCTTCACCAATCAGAATTGCAAATGACTGAAAACCTCATTTGCATATAGTGACACACAACAACCCTTTTTGCCTATATAAGGAGCAACCCAGCAGAGTTCTTTTTTTTTTTTAAGTTTTTTTTTTTATTTATTTACACAAGAACTGGGGTACAGGCCAGATGTGTGGGAGGGTGAGAGGATTCACCAGAGACAGAGTGGGGAACAGAGCAGGCAGACTGACTGAAATACACTCCTGGGGGGAGCAGCGGGCGAGACAGGAGAGGTCTGCATGCCATGTGGGACCCTCACCTGCCGGCAGGGATCTAATGGCAGCTGCAGAGGCTGCAGACAGCTTCACAGTGCTGCGCTCAACCGTCTGCGCCACCAGGGGAGGCCCTCCCCAGCAAAGTTCTTTGGACATAAACCTGAAGCACTCCTTGAGAATGTATCCTGGACTGCTGAAGCCAGGGACAAGCATAAACTTGACTGTAATACTCAAACTGCAAAGCAAAGCTTCAACTGTAACACAGTTGCTGTAAATCCACCCCACTAGGTATAGGAGTTACAGGGCCATAAATGATCCCACACATGCTCCTTAGTGACTATACTATGCCACTTCTCAAGCAAAAGAAACAGCATGAAAAGGAATCTTCACAGCTCATGTTTTTGCTAATGTCTACCAAGACTCAAGCACTGAATTGTTATTAAGATACTGTTAAGGTCATAGGTCAAGAGAAAAAAGCAGCTATTCAAATTTCCTGGGATTTTTTTTGTTTAACAGTTGAACTATGCAAATCATCATTTGAAATGCTAAAATAGCATGCAAGATAATCTTTACTGACATTTAAACAGTGCTTTGTATTGCGGATATGTTGAACTTAGGTCAATAAAATGTATGATAGAGTGCTATTTGGACATGGGTATGTGAGAACACTCAATATTTTATAGGAACTCACTGAATAATATAGGAACATGCTACATTTTTGTTCTTTTACAGGGTTCTTTTGAAGGTTGTATTCTAACATGATCAAAATTATCCAAGAATGGATAATGAATTGCAACTGACTGAAACGGCAGATGAACCAGTAGTCTCAAAGCCTCCTTCATTACTGGCAAAATCCAGGGTTGGGTATGGGCTATGGTTCCCCCAAAGGCTGGCTCATCCAAACCGTCCTGGTTCCTATTCTAGGTCTGGAGATCTATATTTCAATCAAGGACCTCCAGTTTGGCTAGCTTTGAGAACTGCTACATATAGGTGCTGTAGAATTTTCTTCCTTTATGTGACTGGAAACAGATTTCAATATTTTACACATGAATAGAGACTTTCATTACTATTGTATCTTTGCCTTTTCACTAGATTGTTATTCATCCCAATGATTTATTTGATACAGAATCCTTGAACAGGTGCACAGCCACCAATTAAAACCTTGTTTCTATGGGGAAATATGATCCACTTTATGACAACATGATTTATGATATAGTTACCAGAACACATTGTGTCAAAAGGCAGTGTCTGCTTATGCCAAATGTTTACTAGTAAATATATTTTCCTCCGAAAAACATGCTCAAAAAAGAGGTAAACTATTTCTCTACATCTCTCTTTAGCTGGGATCCTCAGGTCTTCACATTACAATACAAGAACAGCTTGCATTTAAATTTGCTTATGTGTTTATTTTTAAACAAGCCCTAATTTCTTGCCTTGCTGCTGTCATTTTAACTGTGCACCTCACCTTTCTTACACCTAGGAAGTAAAAGAAGAATCACAGCTGGAAAAGGATTCATTTCCTCCTCCTTTTTACTTTCTAAATATTTATCTAGGGGAGGGGTTCTGAAAAGTTTCTTTGGGACTCACCTGAATGTGTCACTGGGGACAGCTGCCTTGCCCTTATGTACATAGCACACTGTCTGCCCTGCTATGTCCATTTGGCTGAAGCTTGTGATGGGAACTCCAGGATAGCGGACATATTCAACCTGACCATATCGTGGGGAGGAGGTGATGACATAGAGCAATTCTTCAGGCTTGTCTGTTCCATCCACAGCAAGAAGAGTAGCAGTTGTCAAGAATCCTCTGTTGCCTTTAGATACCACAAGTGGTTTTGCAAGGATGACAATGTCACCTGTCAGGCAGAAAAGGTTGTAGTCAAGAAACAGATTTAAAAATTTATTTAAAATGTCCAAGCAAGCCAAACTGTGCAGTAACCAAACTTAACATGATGTAGAAAGGCTTATATAACTATCACTAATAAAAGAATTATGCAAAGACAGCAAGATATTACACAGAAGGGGACATATCTGGTCAGTGAATACACAAGATACTCAGTCTCATTACTGATTATGGAAATTAAGCTCAGGATCACAATGTCATTATCTTGTAACCTGTGACTGGAAAATATCTGATACCAACTGGGTAAGAGGGTGTATGTAGATCAAGAGAATCTTGCATATGACTCTGGTAGGAATATAAATCAGTACACAATATTTTATAAAGACTTACACAGTCACATTCACCTTGACCCAATGATTCTACACCAGCTATGTATTAGAATTCTTTCATGTGCACTTGTATCCAGACTTATACCAGAATGGTCATTGCAGCTCTGTTTGTAATTGAAAACACTGGAGACAATCCAAATGCCTTTTTAAAAGGTGAATGTATAAACAAACTGTGATCTAATCATAGAACGAAATTCTGCACAGTAGCACAGTGAATGGACTACAACTACAAGCAACAACACAGATGTACTTTATCAACATTTGTTAGCTGCATGAACAAGTCCTAGAAAACTAAACAAACCTAAGAAAATAATTAACAAAAAATTCAGGATGGTATTTCTCTCTGGAGAATGGGAAGAACACATGGGAAAATGGTCATTACTGTTAATATTCCAGTCTGAATTGTATGGTAGTTGCACAGGTTTTTAAAAAGAATGTATTTTAAAAAAAATGTGTAATGACTGTATGAACAAGCAATGCAGAAGTGGGTCACATGGACTAATGATGCAGTGCTCCAGAAACTAAAGATTGTCATCTATTTTCACTCCTCAAAGTTCATATAAAAAGTGATAATTAAGTAATATACAGAGTTTCTTCTATATGCCAGGCATGGAGCTACCAACTCTTACATCTTCACACCAATACCACGAGGTTATAAATGAGTAAACTATAGATGAGGTATAGAAACGCTAATGAATTTGCTAATAATTATACATCTAATGGCAGTTGGAGCTAGAATTTGAATTCAAACCAACTGATTTAAGAGCACAAACACCAACACTGTATTAGATTTATTGCCCTCTTTAATATATAGGGAGTTCTTATAAATCAACACTAACCTGGTCGGTACCCAAAAGGAAGTCTGTGTAGCTAAGTGAAGTACAATAAAAAATTTTCCATTCCAAAATTTCAGTAATGTGAAGATTGGGAAACTCTACTTGATAATCAAATTGTTCTTTTTGGTATGTTATGCTTTTAGCTCAAAATGCTATGCAGCTAAACTTCAATGTAGAATCAAAGACTACTTTAAGTCAGAACATGAGCCCCACATAGTAAAGAGGGAGGTTAGTTGAAAAATCAAGGAAGTGAAAAGAATGAGGAAGTCTGGGAAAACAAAAAATCACCCAAAAGATATTTCACAGGAGCAGAAGATGGATCTGACCTGGAGGCGAGCATATCTGGGTTTTCCCTCAATGCCCTTTTTTTCCCAGCACAATAATGGCACAGTGTGGATTAGGGTCCATAATAAATGACACCCTTTAAACTTCTCTCAGAGATCACCATATCAGGACTACGACATGGAATATATTTGCAAAATGGAATACTACTGAGCTATTAAAAAAAAGATTAAATCTGGCCATTTGGGACAACATAGATAGAAGGGATTATGCTAAACAAAATAAGTCAGAAGGAGAGAAAACAAACATAGGCTAATTTTATCCATATGTAGGAAATAAATGAGACAGAGAAACAGGCAAAACTAATCAAAACACACTAGAAATCTCACTGTAGAATTCAGGCTATGAGAGCAGAAGGGTGGGGGGCATGGGGAGATAAAAGGGGAAATTAACCTAAAGGACAAGGGTTTAGGATTGGGGTGCTTTGGTGATGAGGCATGAAGAGGTATGACCCTGTACTCCAAAATCATACACGGTGTTGAAAGCCAATGTTACCACCACACAGACAAAACCACAACAAAAAATACAGTTAACAAAATAAATACACTTAAACTAAAATATAAATTCATCTTGTCATTTTTGCCACTTTGCAAATCAGAAGACACCGCATAATTGGGAAGTATACTATTTACAATAGTTTCCAAATGGAAATAACCCAAATGCTCAATATGTTCAATACTAGGGTTATGGTTTTGGCTAACAATTGAGTAAAATTTTAGTTAGCAGATAAAAATTATGGTCATCATAATTATAACAATTGTAAAATTATATGTAACAAATATAAAGTTAGACTACAACTTGAGAAAACACATGCTAAGTGAAAAAAAAAAGATACAACACTGTAGAAATAAAATACCATAATTTAAAAAGAAACAGAGAAGCGGGCCTCCCTGGTGGCACAAGGGTTAAAGACATAGTGCTATCAAGCCATTGCCAGCTACTGCAGCAAGAGTTCAATCCCAGGAGGTGACCCACAGGGTGCAGCAGACCTCTCCTGACTCACCCGCTGCTCCCCTCAGCAGTGTATTTCAGCCAATCCGCCTGTCCTGTTCTCCACTCTGTCGCTGGTGAATCCTCTCCCTCACCCCCCCACCCAACACCTCTGGCCTACACCCCAGTTCTTGTATGCATAAATACAAATAAATCTTTTTAAAAAAAGAAACAGAGAAGAAATCCAAAACTTTTGAAAATGTCAGTATGTGATGGTGTCCACTCTGTAAGTGTTCACAAAGCCACATGTTGGTGGCAATAAATGCTGATGATTTGCTCTCCAGTCTCATTTCCTCTTCCTGGGAGTAGTTTCTATTACCATCCCCCCTGAGAATGACAAGTGGCTGCAATTCAGTCACTGGGATGTGTAGAAGACAAGTAAGCTGCTTTTAAACTTAGCCTATAAAATTCTCTCATTTTCATTCATATCTCATTTTTGGAATGATTCCAAGGTTTCATAGCAAAAGATCCTCTAGCTAAACAGAAGCCCCAAATGGCTCTGTAGTACAGAAGTCTCTTCTACCCATAGCAATGCACTGGCTTAACCAATGTGAAGACATTCTACCTTAATATATTAGTTGTCTACCCTAATATATCACTTGTAACAGTAACCCCCAACACACTCCCAGACATATAATAAACACAGTATTACATTAGCAGAGAGAAATAAATGTGTGCCATAATATCTAAATTATCTGAGTCACTTATTAGATATGTTCAAGGAACATATTTTACAATGAAGTAAATAGCAAATAATATATATTACTATACTACCCAAAATAAACATCTCAAAATCAATCAAGATGACTTAATTTTTTTTTTTAATTTGGGACAATTTTAATTCTACCAGACACATGAAGTAAGATCTTTACTATACTTATGCATCCAATTTAGCTCTGAGCCTCCTGACAGCCAAAGCAAAAAAAAAAAAAAAAAAAAAAAGGAAGCATTCAGGAAAGTAGTCAAGTATAAAATGAGAATCTAAGACTGCTTAGTAATGGGAATGCACAGATCCTGAACTATTTAGATAAACACTATGTGACCCTCCTCACATAGATTTTATGTAAAATTTTGGGGTGGTGATATTTCATTGTCATGAGCTTACACTCCTTGCTGAGCTTTCTTTTCAATATTTTTTTCACTCTCCTACCATTTATACACTGCCAAATCGTAGCAAATGAGATTGCTTAATTAATTCAAGAGAACTTATTCTCTTGTATTGTTTTCTCTTGTCCCTAAACAGTACATATTAGCACTTTCAAAGTAAAATGAACAACATTCCAACATTTTCAATGACAAAACACCTTTTTGTTATCTTTTTTATTTTTAAATGTATTTATTTTTATTTCCTTGTTTAATTACATTGGAAATATTTTTCTTTGAAATTTCATTATGAAATAATAATTCTTTTCCTGAAGATAAACTAGAGTTATTACATTAATTTGGTAAAACTTAAAGCAAAAAAAAAAAAAAAGACAATTAGTGTAAACTATGCAGCCTTGTTGCAGGCAAGACTAGATTTTCAATGAACGTTCTTAAATAGAGCAAATAGGGAATGGATTGGCTGCTGTCATGAACCCATAGATCCCAAGCTAAGCAGGTGAGGAACCATCACATGGAATCATAAATGATGAGATTTTAGGTGTAAGGGATAGAAAGAAGGAGGGAGCGAGAGAGCGAGGGAAGAAAGGTAAGGGGACAGTTTAACTGCTTATATCAGTCCATTCTGGTTATAAAAGTTGATCCCCAAAAACTTTGCTATAAATGCTTTTACCTTTTTCCATATTCCTGATGGTAATGTGGCAGTCAAATGCAGGTGACCTGTTGGTGCCATCCCAGAGGTAGAAGGTGAAGCTGTCTTGGTTCTGGGAATCCATGGGGCCAGTGTGAGCATATCTCAGCAAGTTCAAATCCACCTCCTCCTGAGTGCACTTCATGCCAGGGTGGAGAGGAGCCCACTCCCTCCCTATCTGAAAGGTGCCATAATTAGTCAGGTGTCTATGTTGGTTTACCCCCACCCACGCTGTGTTAGTATACATTTTCCATATCTTCAGAAAACCACCAATATGAATATTCCAGGGACATTCAAGACTCAACTTGTCAGCATTTTATCTAATTTTTTTCCTTTCAAGGAACTATATCAAGATAATTTAAGACCGGGCCTCCCCTGGTGGAGCAGCGGTTGAGCGCTGGGCTGTGAAGCTGCCCGCAGCCTCTGCAGCACCGGTTCAATCCCAGGCCGCTGGCAAGGGTTCCACATGGTGCGACAGCCCTCTCCTGCCTCGCCCGCTGATCCCCTCAGCAGTGTATTTCGTCAGTCTGCCTGTTCTGCTCCCCACTCTGGCTCTGGTGAATTCTCTCACCCTCCCACGCTTCTGACTGTACCCAGTGCTCATATAAATAAATAAATAAATAAATCTTAAAAAAAAAAGATAATTTAAGACCATGGGAAAAACTACCTTCAATAAAAATATTTTTAATAGTCATGTGGTAATTCAATAGTAGTGCTACATCCAAGGTATTTATCATAGGCAATCATAGCTGATTAAATATTCCAATTAATGAGAGCAGGTGGGCAATTGAGCTGCTGGAATAGGATCTTTAAAAAATTAAATGTGTTTCATTTGGGGTTTCCTTTTTTAGTTCATATTATTGTACAACAGGTCAGTGCAATTTTTTAAAACTGCTTTGTTATTTGAAATAGATAAAACAAAAATAGAATGGATATATTTACCCCACATAATATTTTCCAGCCTTACTAATGCCCAAAGAAAAATAACAGGATCCCTATCATTCCCTACATTTATATTCTGAGACAGCAAAAAGTACAACAACAAATATATTATTTTTATTGGAATCTTCTAAAAGCAAGAAAATATTAATTAAACATAAATTCTGTCAGCAGTTCAACGCAGAAATTGTGGCATTTTCAATTAAAAGAGGTTCTTATGCTGGGGATAAGGACACTGACAATTGATACAAAACAAGGCAAATCTGTATCTGGTTTAAAATTCTATAGCTATTTTCTTAAGATACATAGCTTTCCCTAAGAAGAGCTCATGAAAGCCACTTTCATAATTCAAACTATGTCATTTTAAAAATTTACTATGTTACTCTCTTGTGCTTTTCCTGTCTGGTTTAAGCGACAAAAACAGAAATTTTTATCATTTGGTTTTTACTTCCCACGGACTCCAACTCCTGCCAAAATGCTTTGCTCCCACACTCCTCACTCTGCTACCATTTCCCTTTGTCGTTCTATTTAATAAAGTTGCCTCTTCTTTAAGACTCTTGCCCATCTGATGTTTGTGCAGCTATGTTCTGCTCCAATGATCACTGGATGAAAGTTAATTACATTGTAATAATTGAGCTCACTGTTTATTTCTGCCATAAGATCTATTTGCAGATTTAATTTCTAAAGCAGATTCTCTTTTAGAGTTTAAACTCGACAGCCTGCACTTCTACTTAACTTTTTCATTTATTTTTTTTCCCAGAAAGTAAATACAAAAAAATATCTTTTGTGCTCACATTCATCAAATTCCCCACTTGCACTCCCAAATGCACGTTTTGATTTGACAAAATTATTTGCAAGCCCAAAAAGAAGAAAGTAAGAGTGAGACTTAATATGGGGAAAACTAAAGAAAATCAATAAGAAAAGAAGAACCCCTTGAGGAAGTCCATGAGGCCTGGAGTCCTGGTCCCTGGCCTTGGAGAAATTTGAAGAACCCCTAGGGATCAGGGGAAGAACTATGTGGCACTAATGCTGGGAACCTGGACCCATCTGGATTTTCACATATCCAAAACACTTCAGTTCCCAAGCCACCCAAATGTGTGAGCCGCTACTGCATTTCTGCTTCATTACTCTTTGAAATGAAATAAGGACACAGCTGTACCTCAATTTAAATCAGTGATTGCTCTTCACTTTGATTCTCTATGGTGCCTACAATCTAAGACAATCAAGCTGTTCCACACAGAATGAATCCTTGATGCTTTTCTAGGACCATGTCTACATTAGATTAAAAGTTAAACATTCAGTCAAGTAATCACACTGGGGATGGCTGATGGTTGTTGTTGCTAGTCTTCATCCACCATTTACATAAGTATTTTGATGGATTACTCAAATAACCCTCTCAAGTGACTGATCTATAATTTGTGTTGGGCTAATCCTTGGATGTCACACAAACAGTCTGAATCGGGCTGACATTTTGCTATTCCAGGACTAAAATGAAGTAAGGAATGGTTATCAGATCACAGAGCAAGTTGTCAGAAGACTTAGCAATGAAAGCAGATGACCTTATTCCCAGCATGCTTGAATGTTTTCATGTGCATTTGCTTTCCACCACATCATTTCCAGAACACACAACATCCAGGAATGTTAATTCATAATGTCATGCAATTCACTGGATTCAAATATGGCAACTGTTAAACCTGACAGAGATGAGGGGACTGTGATGATATCAGTGTCACTCTATACTTTTTAGTTCAAGATTTTGCCTATCTAAACCTTAACATGAGGCTTCTGGTACTGCAAGGAGAAGAGAGAGTAGACAACAAGGGGCACAAAACCTTTTGACTTTTAAATCTATTTCACATATATTCATAAAAATTTGGCATATTAGTTTAAATATACTTTTACTATACTAGCAACTGTACTTCTTGGGATTTCCCCAGATGAACTGACATTCTCTGTCCTTATAAAAATCTGCACACAGATGTTTATATATGTTAAAATTGTTGAGACTGGGCAGCAACCAAGAAGTCCTTCAGTAGACGAGTGGCTAAATCAATGGCCATACTTCCAGACGATGGAATTACTCAATGCTAAAAAGAAATGAGCTATCAATTCATGAAAAGACATTGAAGAACCTGAAATGTATATTATTAAGCTAAATAAGCCAATCTGAAAAGGCTACCCATTGCATGATTCCAACTATATGACATTCTGGAAAAGGCAAAACTATGAAGACAGCAAAGAAGATCAATGATTACCAGGGATTTGAGGGGAGGGATGGGTGGATAGGCAGAGCACAGAGGATTTTTTGGGCCATGACCCTACTCTGTGTGGGTTCATGTTATTATACATTTGACAAAAATTTTAAATGTATTTAAAAATACATCAAGAGTGAACCCTAATATAAATTATGGACTCTGGGTGATAATGCCAATGTAGCTTTAGCAAATGCAACAAGTGCTTCACTCTAATGGGGGAGGTTGATTATGAAGGTGAACTTGTGCTTGGGGAGGGGGACAAAGGCTACATGGGAACCCCGTGCTTTCTTGTCAATTTGTAATGAACCTCAAATTGCTCTAAAAATAAAATATATTCTTAAAAGCTTAAATCTGGTGGAAATGAAGATATCTCAAAGGACCTAATTCTCATCAAAAACTAGATATCTTGCTTTCCACAGTAACTCCCTCCCCCCAAATTTAGGTACAATCACAGGGACTAGGAAGCAATGAAGAGATGTAATATCACTTCAGTTTTTCATAAGTTGAATATGAAAATGAATATTTAGAATAGTGTGAGGAGTTCCCCTCAAATTAGGAAAATTACTCCTCAGCAAAATATGTCTACTAGATAATAAATTTAATTATAGAAATGTATGTATTAAGAAAACTTATACCTGCTATATTGGTTTTAAAAAATAAAATTAAAACTACTAACCTTAAGCTGAAGTTGCCCATTTTGGGGAAGCCTTTCAAATATATAATAAATCTTCTCTCTGGGTGAGTCTTCATCTCTGGCTGAAAGAACAGCACTAGAAATAATACGAGTTTCACCCATACTTACTGTCATTTCAGCCTTCCTGTAAAAAGGAAGATATCTGTGTTGATATCAAAATAGAAGATCTTGCTTCAGCGGGAGACACTCATAAAGACTATTACAATTCCAATCTTCAACAATTAAGGAATGTTACTCAAACCGAAAGTACTGAAAATGATGAGCCAGTCTCATGAAATGGCATTTACTTGACTTTACAAGTGTCCTAACAGACAGTCAGCAACAGGCACAAGGTACCAGGTGTTCATACACTTGCAGATGTTTTCATGCATAGAACTTTGAACTTTGTAATAATTTATTTTATTAAATGATTTTGTTGCCATTATTTCATTTGATAGTCACAATAACAGTTCCATGAATTAAAAGGGCCAGGTACTGTTTTAATTTTACAGGCAGAAACTTAGAGACTTATCCACAGGTGTTGTGTTAGTGGTGTTCTAGTCTTTATGCTGCATGATGAGTTGTGTGATGTTCAAGGAATCTGCCACCCTCTACACCACTCTCCCTCTCCCTGGTATGTTCTGGGAAACTACTGTTCTCCTTAACAGCAATTTATCTTTTCTAAATGCAGAAGCCAGGTCAGGTCCTGGCATCTTGATCAGGAGGCTGGATCAGTGAGCTGCTGCAGCTTCTAATGCTGCTGTGGTATTTGCAGGTTCAATCTGGTGCTGCTGTTTTCATGGCCGATGTGGTCATTTTCCCTGATCTCAGCCAAGTGAGAGATGCCTTTCTTACTGCCTGAGTTTTCAGTTCTCATTGTGGCCATCACACGTGGCACACAGCCTCTGTCCAGCTGGACAGCTTATTTCTGAGAGAAACTCAGGAGTTTACTTGGGGCTCAGCATCGCTCTCCACAGTCTCCCGCTCCTCTGAGACGTCCAAGTCCAGGTACCTCAGCTTTAACATCTTTTACTCAGGGTAAGTTTCTTACCTACTCAGGAGTGAGATAATCTATTTCCTGACAATAGGAGGTGACTTTGGCCTACCTATTTATTGAAGAATATTAATCTCATATTCTAGCGTTTAACTGTTGGGAGAGACACCACGCAGTGAGCAGAAGGGCCTTGACCTGAGTCCCTAAGGCGTGTGAAAACACATGCGTCTTGGAGAAAAACCTCTGAGTGACAGGACTTGGTGTTGAGTGCCCGGAAAGTGACCTGAGTGGAGTCAGGCCTCTACATCTCCACAGTCTTAGAATAACAAAAATAATGAGCGAACTTCCCAAGCTCTAGCTAGGGGGCGATAAGACTATGTGTGTGAGAACTAACCACCTGGAACCCTACTGACTGAAGTAAATAGATAATAGTAAGAAAGTAGACTAATCATTCATACGTGTTGTCAGTATATGTATGCTTTGATGTTACACCTGCTGCAATTAAAATAGTATATAATGAGCACTAAGACAATAAAGATTTACTGCATGCTGGACATGACAGTCCCCCATGTCTGATTTCCCTCACCGTCGCGTCCCAGGTCCAGGACTCACTAAGTCCACATTTAACCAGTTAGTTGAGGGTATGTGTAGATTAGTGGTAGTTAATATAAACAGAGTAATCAAAATAGACTATATGATGGAGATAAAAAAATTGGTAGAAAGAAAGTGTCAGAATTAAATATCAGAGAAACCAAGAGAGAAGAAAGTGCATCATTGTCTGTATTGTCTGAGGAACCCTGAAAAGTTCTGTGGGCCAGGATTTTGGTACAGGTTATTTATCTGGAAAGTGATTTCCAAATACTTGATGAGTGAGGGATGAGACCGAGAAGGGGTAAAAGGCAACAAAGGTATCTGCTATGCAATTGGGACTACATCTTGCTGGGGCTCCTTTGAAGAACCATGTAGAATATGCCTCAAATTGTGCTTCTGGGGGGTGAGAAGCTGGGACATGGGTTTATCCACTACTTCTATAGGTTGAAGTTTGCCCTCAATGTTCTCCATTGTACCTGGACATGGAGTAAATGAGCCACTGATGGTTCAGAGAAGCCCTAAGGCAGAAAAGTGGGGCAATGTACCATGAGTCTTGCAGTGGGCACTGAGAGTGTGCATAGTGCATTCCACCACAACTGCAACCAGAATCAGGTAAACTGAGGGGACATGACATGGCAACCCAAAAGAATCTACTATAGTGTCTGAAAGGAATATCAAAGAAATGGTGTAAAAAGCTCTGATGGGGTCTAGCAACATGAGAAGAGCCACAGTGGGTGACTCTTTTAAGATTTATTTATTTTTGCATACCAGAGCTGGGGCACAAGCCAGAAGTGTGGGGGAGGTGAGAGGATTCACCAGAGACAGAGTTGGGGAGCAGAACACACGGACTGACTGAATTACACTGCTGAGGGGAGTAGCGGGCAAGACAGGAGAGATCTGCTGTGCCCTGTGGGTTAGCTCCCTGGCCAGCGATCAAACTCATGCTTCAATGGCTGATGATAGCTTGATAGTGCTGAGACTTAACCCCTTGTGCCACCAGGGAGGCCCAACAGTGGGTGACTTTTAAGGGAGGAATTTTAACAAAGAGTTGGAAGTTGGATTCAGTGAGCAGAAATGAAGAAGACAAGCACAAGATATCCTCCAGTCTTTCAGTTTCAGAATAAGAATACTTGCTGGCAATAATGTTAACAACAAATACTTATGAGCACTTACTATGTAGTAGCCAGTCTTCAAGTACTTATACATGTTTTTATTCATTTAATGCCTGCAATAACATGAGGTCAAGAGGACACTATTACTATCCTGCGTGTATGTGCTCTGAATGTGTGTAAACATGTTAGTGCATGTTTTAAAATATTTAGTCTACTGTTTATTCCATACTGTATCTCTCCAGTTGTTCTTAATTATTTATAACTAGAACTTTTACAAAAATATCAAATAATTAAAAGAGTAATTTAAAAATTCTTAAGGAGATGTTATATTAATTACCATTTGCACTAAAGATTTTAAGTGCCTGAGTAGGAGAGACAAGTTATTATAGAAAAGAGTTGTCAAAGACTTGATTCTCTGGGAAACACACTATTTACACCTGGTATTCCAGACCTCACAAGACGTTATAGAAAAGGACTCTTTTTGGTAACTTACTTGTTCAGCATTGGTTTCTCATCATTAACTGGGGTGACCTCTACTGCAATGGTTTTAAGAATCTCATGTTTCCCATCTGACAACTGGATGGTAAAGTCATCAATAAGGTTTTCTGAGTCATCATGCACATACATCAACCTCATCCCTGAAAGAACAGGAGAAAGAAAAAGCAAATCTTTCTTAGGATAGAACCACTGCAAAACAGGGATGATCTATCTTAATTTCCAAAGCATTGGTATTACCAAGAGTTAATCAGTGAAACTGAGTAAAATGAAACTTATTTTACAAAGTTAGAGTCCCTTCTTAGTCCTTTTTTTTTTTTAAAGATTTATTTATTTATTTTATACAAGAACTGGCATACAGGTTAGAAGTACGGGAGGGTGAGAGAATTCACCAGAGCCAGAGCAGGGAACAGAACAGGCAGACTGACGAAGTACACTGCTGAAGGGAGCAGCAGCGAGGCAGGAGAGGTCTGCTGCGCCATGTGGGGTTCTCCCTGGCCGGCAGGGAATTGAACCGGCACTCCAGAGGCTGTGGACAGCTTTGCAGCGTGGTACTGAACTGCTGCGCCACCGGGAAGGCCCCCCTCTTAGTCCTTTAAAAATTCCTTATTTAAGTACACTAGTATTCAATAAGTTTCTTTTTTATAATCAGTGAGAAGATGATAGATTATATACTAAATTGTGTAAGAATAATGTTGATGAGATGTTTAAATAAAAGAGAAAATTAGTTAGTTACTTGGAGGAAATTATAATTAGATACCTACCTCAAGTCAATAACCAAAATAAATTCTAGATGAATGAAAAATTAAGTAAAAAAACTCCCTATTTTTAAAAAACACACCAAGCATCCGTATAGAAATGCAAGGGAGCTTGAATATCCCACATTATCTTGAAGAAGAATAATGAAATTGGAGGGCTCAGAGTACCCATTTTGAGAACTTAATACAAAGCTACAGTAATCAAGACATTATAGATTAAACTAATAGAAGGGAGTCTAGATGTAAGTCCATACAGTTATGATCAATCAACTTTTATCAAGGATACCAAGACTGGTCAATGGGAAAAAAGTAGTTTTTTCAATAAATGATGCTGGGACCCCTGAATATTCAAAAATGAAAAAATGAAAATCGGGCCCTAGCTCATACCACATATAAAAATTAACTGATAGTGGATCATAGACCTAAAGGTAACAGATGATTTATTAAATAGACATGCTCCTCTACATTGTTGTAATGGTAATTTTTTTCTCCTAAAAGTATTATAAATTTTATAATCATATTATAAAAATTTATGCAAAATATACAGAGATATGCCCCAAGATTTATATTATATAAAGATATGAAATGGGCTTATTCATGTTTAATTTGAATATCAGGTCTATTGATGTATAACTTGAATATCAGGAAATGAAAAGTTATATGGATATTTTAAAATAGGAGATAGTTGTAAAAAATTATAGTCTATGGTCATAAAATGAAACATTGTTATTAATTTTCAATTAATATTTAAAAAGAAAAAAGATGGGCCTCCCTGATGGTGCAGCCGTTGAGTGCTGGGTTGTAAAGCTGCCCACAGCCTCTGCAGTGCTGGTTTGATCCCCAGCGACCAGGCGAGAGTCCCACATGGCGTGCAGACCTCTCCTGTCTCGCCTGCTGCTCCCCTCAGCAGTGTACTTCATCAGTCTGCCTGGTCTGCTCCCCGCTCTAGCTCTGGTGAATTCTCTTACCCTCCCGTGCTTCTGACTGTACCCAGTGCTTATATAAATAAATAAATAAATCTTTAAAAAAAAAAAAAGAAAAGAAAAGAAAAAGAAAAAAGATGTTTATAATCATTGAAAAGAAACCATGATGCCATAAGATGGAAGCTTCTTTATAAGTTCTCCATTTTTGTGTTGGGGGATGAGTTTGAGGATATAATAAAGTTTAGATAAAATGTAGCTATAAATTTACCAAAAATAAAATAGAGGCAAAGATCTAATTGCTGAGAATGTTAACAAACTAATAACTAAAAATTGATTTATGTGAATGAGTTGAATTTTTTCTTCAAAATTACTGTGTAGACTAACATAATACAAAATGAATATCATTTAATAACAAATAATGATTATTTTAAATATTATTGAATTTAAAAATATTATTCCTTGAGATTAAAATTTGGCTTACTGCTCCATTTTGTTTTGTCTTAAATTTGAAAAAATTATATATATAGTATTATTTGCTACACATTGTTATTGATTTGGTAATATTAGCCTTAAATTCCAGAATTTATTTCTTTGAAATTGGCAGAAATGAGAAATATGCTAATTGGCTTTTCTAATTTAAATGTGAGATTATATTCTGCAGTCATTGCAAAATAAACTTGGGGCAGAGCGCTCACACTTCAATTGGGGAAAAAATAATTAAAAGGCAGAAGTGAACAAAAGCTGAGATGAAGGAAGCGCAGAGAAGGGAAGGGGGAAATCCACAGTGGCCAGCTTCCACAGGCACAGTATTGACTGGTCCTGCAAAGCACTGGAAAAAACTTCCAGGTTGAAGAACCAGAACATGTGAAGGAAGGAGAGTGATAGCAGCAGTAATTCTAGAATCACACACGCTCCTCCAAAGTTTGAAAGTATGTGGAAAATAGGATAAGATTGATTTTGTAAAAAGAGTAATTAAAAATAATTCAGACTGTTATTCCAATGTGTCATTTCCTTAAAGAGCAAATTATCTCCTCAGAGAATAATGAGTTATTATGTGGTTCTATATTTGTTTCAAATGTGGAAATTTTGGCAGACAAATCTCTTCAAATTTAGTTCCATGATCTCAATAGTTTCAAAAGGATTTTTTTTATTATGACATTGAAAGCTTGAGAAAAACTACCAAAAATCACAAATGGCATTTTATTGATATTCTAAAAGTGAGAGAAAGCATCTTTTCTCTCTAGCTAGGGCTTCAATGCCGACCTCAGTCCACAGACCAAAGAAAACTCTTGAGTAATTAATGAAGGTGAATGTTATTATCTTTACACACTTTTTCTGTGACTTATTTTTACATTCTCTGGGTTAAATTAATCAACAACAGCAAAGAAATAGAAGTGGAACATCACATACCATTCTTGAGAAGGTCCATGGAAAAGTTGTGAACAAGTTCTTGCTCATGGCGGGGGCTGGCTGACTGCTTATACAGAGGAGAGTCTTTGCTAACCAACCCGCTGATGAGGAGGCCATGACGAGGTTTATGTGTGATGCTGAATAGCAAGGGGTCCTCGGGAATGTCCTGGTCAGAAGCTTTGATGGTGGAAGAATCCAGTTCTTTCATCCCACCCTCACACACCTATACAAGGACAAATCAGAAAAGTCAATTGCATGAGAAAGAAAAATTGTCTTTCTTCTGGAAAACCCTTCAAAAAGATATAATTTCAAGATATGCTACTTTTGATTGTCCATGAGACTTATATATAATGAGTTCTAAATAGAAATTGCAGGTTTAACATGAACTTAAAAGAAAAGAACACATTTGTTAATCTCTCTTACATGTTTTTCTAAAGATTTGAAAGCCTTTTATTTTTCCAGGAAGGACAAAGGATATAGTATTGTAAAAATAAGTATTGTTTATAATTCAAACATTAGGGTCAGTAGAGGATGCCACCAAAAAGATTTTTCCCTTGTGGTGTCACGGAGAATTTCAGTTGTGGTACTGAATCTGGACCCTTCACCTTCAGATATCAAGCTCTTATTTTAACCTCCTAGACTTGTTGCTTTTAATTCATATGTTTCTGGTTTAGAAATGGCACAAACATCTGCTGTATATACTGAAGATATTCGATGGGTTTTATTTTGTGACTGCAGTAGAGAAAAAATTCTTTATTTCAGTTGCAGTCAGCCATTAAAAAAAAAGGGTGTTTCCGGATGTACAATAATATGTATTTTAGTTCTGGGTTCCTCATCTTTCCCCAGCTTTCACACTTCTAATTTTCCTGAAGTACCTTTGCCACCAGCACACCCTGCCCCCCTTCAGATTTCATAATAGAAAAACAAAGAGACCTGAATGTTTTTCATTTCATGTTGGAGCTAGTCATTTAGAACTTGACATGGTACTTAGCTGAGCTCCTTTTTCTCATAGTGAGGAAAAAAGAACAAAGAAATATTTGTTTCACACTTTGAAATATAACAAGATTTGATTAACAAGAGTGTTTAAATTCAACGCACAATGGGAATCTGCAATGTTACAGTTCTACATATGGTGGGGAATACAAATATTTTAAAGAATCAAAGTCAGATGAGATTATGAAGGCCTGTGCTCTAGTAAATCTAATACAAGAAAGAAAATGTCTAACATTAACAGACATGCATACACAAGAAGTAAAAAAGTTCAGAGCCCGGGATCAGGACAGTCTCATGACTGCCTGGGCATTTTATTTTTTATTTTTTTAAAAGATTTATTTATTTATGCATACAAGAGCTGGGGCACAGGACAGAGGTGTTGGGGTGAGAGGATTCACCAGAGACAGAGTAGGGAACAGAATAGGCAGACTGACAAAAGTACACTGCTGAGGGGAGCATTGGGCGAGTCAGGAGAAGTCTACTGCACCATGTGGGTAGCTCCCTGGCCGGGGGATCAAACTCGTGCTGCAGTGGCTGTGGATAGCTTCACAGCGCTGCGCTCAACCCCTTGCACTACCAGGGAGGTCCTCTCCAACAACTTTAATAAAACCATCTTAAAATGTATTCTAACTATCCTTCTTCATAGAGCTTAGGACCCTCAGACTCACTCTACAGCAACCTTTCTCACTTATGAAATGGTGCATTATTAGTTCACAAGATGACTTGGGAAATTCAGTTGAAAAAAATGTGGGATTTTTTGCACATTTAATTGTTGACATTATACAATGAAAAGTTTAAATCAATATACACAAAAAGCAGTTCACTAGCAGACTGGTTTGAAATGGATTATAATAATTTAATAGCTTATTTTTAATAGCCTAATTTAAAAAAAAAATCACTTAAAGCTCAAAATCAGCTCTGCCAATAACACACAGGGTTCCATACTTGTTAGTCTTCAAAAGCTTCTCTAAGGAATGCACAGGTAAAAATATGATTACTTTCAAAGGGCAAGGGACAATTTCCCAGCAGTTTAATTATTTCAGAAACCCCCAACCCTAGACACACATAAGACAATAGAAGTAGGTATAGATGGTATCATTTGTGGATTATTTTTTCTCTCATAATTACTGAAGGGCTCTCTAGAGAAAACCATGTGCCAACAGAAGAGGAAAGGCAGGAACTGGCTTTCAAATCTCATCCTGAAGAAGCTCTCCTATGGTATTAAGATTCAGTAGAAAATTAAAATCAAATACTTTTGCACTGAGGATTTTGTGATATTTAGTGAAGATAAGGCAAGATAATGGTTTCAAAATAGATATTTGCTGTGATCAATGTTAGAAAAAATATGACAAACACAATAACAGAAATAATCCAAATGGCACCTCTTTGTTAAGGGTCTAATATGTCCTGACCACCTTGATTTTCATGCTAACCCTTAAGGAAGATCTGATACACATTTTGTATATGAAGGTGTAGAAGTATAGAAAAAAATAATCAGAACTCTACAGTTAGTAAACAGCAACACCTAAGTCCCTATGATTCCAAAGCCAGTGTTCATCCATTTAATCAGGATTTGCTATACATATGTCAGGGTTAAATAATTGTGCGTGTGGGGGGGGTGAGGGGTGGGGGGGTATATTTAAAGGAATTGTTTAAAAAGAATTACATGTAATGAAAAAAATCACCAATACACATAATTAATATTTCAGGTAATACAGAGAGTAGTGGATATAATGATCCCTAATTTCCAAGGAAAAACATACTGAAAAATTGAGTATACATACACATATCTCTGGCATGTGCAGAAATTGTTTTTGTGGAATGAATTACTAAAAACTAAACTTCTGGGGAGTGACTATGGACAGGACTATTGAAGAGAGAATTTCACTATTCTCTTTGCATGTTTCTCAACATTCTCACTAGCTTAACTGCATAAATTTATTTTTATTTTTTTAAAAGACAACCTGAATTACCTGAAGAGTGATATTTTAATTATACATCTGAATTTTTAAATACAACTAACAAATGTTATTATATAAATCAATTTTAAATGGCATGAAAATAAATTATGCTTTTTAATTTTCTATAACTATGTAAAAATGCTTGTACTTCATGAATTAAGAGTTCTTGTCATTATAGCACTGGCTAGGAGGGCATGCTGTGGAGTCAGACTGCCTGGGAACAAATCCTTTATGTGTTACCCACTCTGTGCCACTTACTTCCAACCTCTGTGATCCTGGGAAACTAAGTTAATCTCTTCATGCCCTATGTTTTCAGCTACTAAATGGCAATAATAATAATATCACCCTAAATCCCTATTATGTGTACTCATGTAAATACATATAAAGGACTTGAGGAGCCTCCCTGGTGGTGCAAGGGGTTAAGCGCAGCACTATGAAACTATCCACAGCTACAGCAGCACGAGTTCAATGCCTAGCCAGAGAGGTGACCCACATGGCACAGCACACCTCTGCTGTCTTGCCTATTGCTCCCCTCAGCAGTGTATTTCAGTAGATCTGCCTGTTCTGCTCCCCACTCTCTCTGGTGAATCCTCTCACCCCCGCCCCCCACACCTCTGACCAGTACCCCAGTTCTTGTATGCATAAATAAACCTTTAAAAAAAGGACTTGAAATGGTACCTATAACCAAATAAATATTCCGACCTATAAACATACAACTATAATTGCATCCATGCAGTTGATATATGTTAGCAATTATAATTATCATTACTATGATCACTATTATTAGGTGACCATTTTTCAAGTGATAATATTATATTACAGAGGTTACTGTCCTCTCCATTCTCCACCAGCTTACTATGTTAAGTGCATCCATATTAATATAAGCGGACAAGGTGAAAATAAAAGCCAGATAATGATGAGAGAAATAGCAGATTCTGATTTTTCTTACAGTAATATTCTGCACCACAAAGTCAGGAACTTCATCATTTGTGGGTTTGATTATAACATGAAACGGTATCTCCAAGGACCGTCGCTTCCCATCTGTGACATACATCATGAACTGGTCAGCAGTTGGTTCCATCCACAGATGCCTCGACTGCACATAGTTAATATGCAAAGCCTTCATGTCTTTCCACTTAAATGAAGCTGGAATACAGCAAGATAGAGCAGATAAATAAGAAAAACATTTCTTCCAAACATACTTGTCCTCAGTCATTAACCCAATAGCCTATTTCTCAGCAAAGCAAATAAGAAATCATGACAAGTTATCAGGGTTGCTGTCATGACTGTCAACCTTCAACATGAAAACAGACATCCATAAATCACACAGAAGGACTAAAAGTTACATGGACACCAGAAGGACAATCACTGCTAACCAGATGTGTGGGGACTTCATAACGTACACTAGAATGAATGTCATTGGGACCTTATGTTGATTAAAACCACCTCTTCTGAATGAGCAGTTCTTATGCTTGAATGAGAAAGAGGCCATATCTTTCATATAAAAGTAAAATGAAAGTCAATCACTGCCTACTTAATGTACACATGAAGCAACTGGTTGAATTGAGTAAAATTACTGACCTGCTGATTTGGTACTTTGACAATGCTTTCCATCAAAAGAAAAAATGTTTTATGTGTTGGACATTACATCATGTATAAGCTGTATAGCCTATAATGCATTTAATCTTTTCCTCTCAGTTTTATTAAGATATACAGGTATATAATACTGGCTAAATTTAAGGTATGCAGTGTTATTTTTGATGCATATGTATTAAGAAATGTTTACCAAAATAAGGTCAATTAACATATCTTTCGCCTCATAGGTTTACCATTTTGTTGTTGTTTTAGGGTGAGGACATTAAAATTTTATTCTCAAAGCAATTTTCAAGTATACAATATGGCATTGTTAACTATAGTCACGTTATAGATCATACCTCCCAGAAATTATTCACTTTACAATGGCAAGTTTGTACCCCTTGATCAACATCTTCCCATTTCCCCCAGTCCCCAACTCCTGACAGCTACAATTCTAATGTTTTTATGAGTTTGATGTTTTTAGATTGTACATTTAAGTGAGATCATACAGTTTTTAATTTCTTTTTCTGACTTATTTTAGTTAGCATAGTACCTCCAGGTCTATCTGTATTATTGCAAATGACTGGATTTCCCTTTTTACAGCTGAATAATATTCCACTGTATCTATATACCACCACCTCTTTGTCCATTCGACTAGCAAATGTACATAGGTTATTTCTAATATGTTGGCTATTAAGAATGATTCTACCACAAACATGGGGATGCAGATAAGTGTTTGGGATAGTGATTTCACTTCCTTAGACTGTACAGCTAGAAGTGGGATTGCCAAATCATATCATATTTTATTTTAAAAACTTGAGATGCCTCCACACTGTTTTCCATAGTGTCTTCGCCAGTTTAGATTCCCACCAACAGTTCATAAAGGGTTCCATTTTCTCTACATGCTCACTAGCATTTGCTCTTTTATCAATTTGGTGACAATTTTTCTAACAGGTATGAGGGAATATCTTATGGTTCTCATTTGCATTTCTCTGGTGATATGTGATATTTAATACCTTTTCATATATCTCTCAGAGATTGAGACATCTTTGGGGAAACATATTCAAATCCTTTGACCATTTTATTTTTAGTTTTTTAAGATTTATTTATTTTATAGAAGAACTGGGGTACAGGCCAGAGGCACAGGAGGGTGAGAGAATTTACCAGACACAGAGCAAGGAGCAGAACAGGCAGATGGACAAAGCAGGAGAGGCAGGAGAGGTCTGCTGCACCATGTGGATATCTCCCTGGTAGGCTGGGAATCGAACCCTCATTGCAGAGGCTGTGGACAGCTTCACAGCGTGGTGCTCAACACGCTGAGCCAACAGGGAGACCCATTTCTGACCATTTGTTAAATTGAATTGTTTGCTTGTTGTTTTGTTATTAAATACATGAGATCTCTATGTATTTTAGATAATAACTCCTCATCTGGTATATGGTTGGCAATATCTTCTCTCATTCCATAGATTACATTTTGATTTTGTTGATTTCTTTTTCTGTATAGAAGTTTTTACTTTATTTTTTTCATACCTTCCTCCCCAAGAATTTTTTAATTTGATGTAGTCCCAGTTGATGTTTTTGCTTTTGTTACTTGTTCTTTTGATGTCATATCCAAAAATATCATTGTCAAGACCAATGTTAAAATGTTTTTTTCTTATTTTCTTCTAGGAATTTTATAGTTTCAGATCTTATATCTTAAATTCCTTTTGAGCTAATATTTTTAATAGTGCAAGATAGGTTCCAGTTTCATTATTTTGCAAGTCATCCTCCAGTTTTCCAAACACTATTTTTTGAAGAAAGTATTCTTTCTCCATTGATTATTTTTGACTCCCTTTGTCAAATATTTATTGACCATATATGCATAGGTTTATTTGTGAATTCTTGGTTCTACTGCACCAGTCTATGCCTCTGTTCCCAGTGTTTCCTTGCTGACTTTTTAATCTGGATGGTCTATCCATAGTTGACATTCCCTGTTCATGTTGTATTGTTGTCTATTACTCCCTTAAGATTTGTTAATATTTGCTTAATCTATTTAGGTTCTCCAATGTTAGGCACCTGTAAATTTTCAGTTGTTACATAACTGATGAATTGAACCCTTTCACCGTTGTATAATGAACTTCATGGTCTCTTACTACAGTTTGACTTAAAGTGTGCTTTGTCTGACATAGGTATAGTTTTTCTAGTCACTTTTAGTTTCATTTTTCCATCTCTTCACTTGAATCTGTTTCTTTGACATTGAAGTAAGTTTCTTGTAGGCAGCATAAAGCTGGATTTTCACTTTTTCTACCAATTCAGTCATTCTATTTATGTGGTCTTTCTCATATTTAAAAAGGATATGCCTCAAAAGGAGTTTAGACAATCATTTACTTCTAAAGTTTTGTCTCTGTATAATTTTGTTTTTGGCTTCTGTTTTGGCTTTGGTTGTTTTATTTATGTCTGAAATACAAGAGCTATTTAAGTGTAAGACACATTTGTTTTCAAAATTTAATGTCATCTGCTTCAATCTTTAGACTTTCTGTTACTCCCATGCTATATTTCCTATTTTTTCCACCAACACCTATTAATAATGCTAAAAGATTATGAAACCTAATCTCTGCGAGTTCCCACCAGATTTACTCTATCAGATTTATTCTATTTATTGTGAGAATCTTTAAAAACATTATTTCTTCGCTGTTTATTGTTTTAATTTGAAGTATACATGCATATATAGAGAAATTCAAAGTAGAAAAATGTGAATATTTTGAAGTCCTAGCCCAGTTATTAAGAATGATTGGGCCAGGGCCTCCCCTGGTGGTGCAGCAGTTGAGTGCTGGGTTGCGAGGCTGCCCGCAGCCTCTGCAGCGCCAGTTCGATCCCCGGCCACCGGCGAGGGTCCCAAAAAAAAAAAAAAAAAAAAGAATGATTGGGCCAAACACGTTCATAAACAACAGATGAGTTATCACTGGTCATGAAACCATGACTTACCTATACTGATGCCCATATTGCTTTTTTCAAAACCCACAGAAGGGAGTATGTTTTCCATGTAACCGAACTGGGGAGGTGAAACCAAAACAAATTCCAAGTCATCGGCTGCAGTGTCAGGGTCAGTGGCAGACAAATGGTTAATGGTAAGGGCTGCTGAGAAACCCTCATCTACAACGAACATGGTACCTGCATACAAATAATAACACAATTATGACTTAGCGTGAAATCCTCTAATCGGAATAGTGAGGGCAAATGGGAGTGATTTAAATTCCAATTCAGAGAAGACTCCCATATGCAAATAAACTTCCATGGGAGATGTTCCTTTGGCATAATTCTTCTTACAGTGAAAATATTCAGAGGTAATGGGTGGAATTTAATTTGACTTATGGAATTATATTTTCTTTCTTGTACAAGCAAGCCAGACAATAATGGAAAGACAGCAAAAATACTCAATGCTCTAGTACAGCCCTTTAGTCATTCTCAAGGAACTCTGATTTCCCTTGTGTCTCTATAGAAGTGACAAATGAAAATAAGAATTGCCAAACTGTTTTAATGATAAGCCACTAAATGTAGTTTATGTACTCTTCAAGATCAGTTGTTACCTCTGTTTGTCAGAGCGTTAATTGCCTGCGAGCTATTATGAATTGTTCATAACGAACATTTTTTTCGTGCCTTTGTGCTTAATTATTCTGCTGGGATAATGCTTCCTTTCCAGAACATTGCTTGGAAGATAGTTTGCAAATTACAATAACATTCATACATATGCTTGCATTTTTTTTCTGAGAGACAGAACATATACATAATGCCTATGAAGAGATGACTTTCTAAAAAGCAAATAAGGTTAAATGTATATAAATGGTCTCTCTGGTATACTCATTCTGTTCTAATAGAAATTATTGTGGATAAAATAAACTACTCTTTCTCTAGCAGGCAAATGATGTTTTCCCATGTGAAATTAAAATGGAATATTTGAGGACTCCAATTCTTCATCATTCTCTCTATTCTCTCTCTCTCTCCAATACACATTTACATTCTCTCTATATACAAAAATATTTAAATGTTTAACAAGTATATTTTTTTGCCCTATAATCTTTTATAGATTTGAAGATTTCCACAAATTTGCTTTGACACAATTCTTGGAGGCAATTCTTCAGGAAGTTTTCTATTTTGATTATAGTAAAGGGCATCATTTCACTGAACCACAGTTATGACACTGGATGAGATAACAGGATTTCAACAGAAAAAAATTGTCACCTATTGTGATTGAAGGTGGTTGGTTGTCCACTGGATGTACTGTGATGTTGAGATCATACACTGGAAAGGACTCATGAAGAGGAACAGATGGAAGTGGTCCATTGTAGCAACAGCTATTCACAAAAGGGCCAGCTTCTCCATCCGAAACCACCAATGTAATGGTGTCAAAACATGGCACCATGCCAATCTCATCACCTGGAAGACACAACAATAACTGAGACCTGCCTTTTTAAAAAATTAGAATACCAAGATGAAATCTATTCACACCTCTTCTACAAGTATGCACTGGCAAGGAAAGGAACTGATGTGGCTAAAATGTAAAACACAGCTTTATCCCTGTGAAATTAAATACAGTCATGAAAAAAATACAAAAACGCTTGCCCATCTGTTGCCTCTGGGGAAATCCCTGCCAGTCATCTATCACCATATGGAGGGGCAAAATGGGGCTAACAAGGGTCTGACAGTTCACAAATGAACAAGGGAGAGACATGAAGCTTGACTAGTGATGGTTTCATTCTTCCCTCATAATTGTTTAGTGTTAAGATCAACCTCAGGGAGAGCAGAAGTCACCCTTGTCCCTTTGGTAATTGTCTTCCACTTGCATTAACCACCTTAAATGAATAACCATCAACCACAGAAGTAATTATGAGAAACAGAAGAAGGCGGATAGGTGAATACGAAGATAGTCCACATTTGTCATTTGTTTCAATTTTTTCCTCGTTATCTAATAGCGAAGATGTTGATGAAATCACCTAGATAAGAAGTGACATTTTTTAAATTTTCTTTTCAGGTTTCTACCAGTGGGGTTCAAAATGGCTCCACTTAGACAGTAAGAGGAAGAAGGAAGCAAATGTCAGGATTAGAGAGTTTATCAGCACACAGGACAATCTGCTTTTGGGTTACTAGGTAGGAGTGTGTCCTTCCCATGGGGATAGAAAAGACCTGCAGAGCCTCCCTGGTGGCGCATTCCGCAGCCTCTGCAGCATGAGTTTGATCCCCAGCCAGGGAGATGCCCACATGGTGCAGTAGACCTCTCCTGTCTCGCCTGCTGCTCCCCTCAGCAGTGTGTTTCAGTCAGTCTGCCTGTTCTGTTTCCCACTCTGTCTTTGGTGAATCCTCTCACCTCCCCACCCCACATCCCACATCTCTGGCCTGTACCCCAGCTCTTGTATGCATGGATAAATAAATCTTTAAAAAAAAGGAAAAAAAAAAAAAAGTCCTACAGATTACTTTTGGTAATTCTCATGTATCACTTTGAAAAGTGCCAAGAAGGAAACAATTGTATTTGAAATTTTGATAAGTTTAGGTCACATATACTTATCAGGGATGTCATCTCGTTTCACAAGACACATTGGTGAAATCTATAGAGTATTGCGGTTGGCATTATTCTATCCGATTCAAAAAATGACATGGAAAAACTAGAGATGAGTTTATTAAGCAACCAAATGATAGGATGAGAAAACTAGGATCATAAGGAAAAAAGTGACAGAATTAGAATCAAACACTCAGTCCTCAACTTTGAGAAAAGTCCAAAATGCAGGCCTCTTATCTAATCATATTAATGAAAAAACAAATTAGCATAAAGATTTGTATTGATTATGGAGTCAATAAATTTTTATGCCTGTTATATAACAATTAGTGTTCTGGGTGCTCCAAGAGATAAAAAGGCATTTTGAAAATGTCAAAAGACCTACTACTATGTGTTAGGCACAGACTATAGTCTAATGATAGAAAAGAAATGCAATTTAGCTAGAATATCATTGTATATGTGTAGTAAGTGGAACCATATGAAATTTTCCGTGTTGTTTTACCTGTGATATGGCAACTCCACATATCTTAGTTTGAGTATGTACACAGTGCTGAGAGTGAAGGAGGCTAAGAATTTTGATTGACAATGGCATGAAGGCAGGATACACATGCCACAGAAAATCAAAGCAGCCTTTTCAGATGACTTTGTTGATTTTGTACTGGACGTAAAAGAATGAGTAGTTTTCTAGGTAGGTAAGGCAGAGAATTGGGAAGTGGAAGAGAGGACATGTAAAGAGAGTGATTTGAGAACAGAAATGGGAAAGTTCTTATAGGAAGACAGGACAGCTTTTGTTCTTAAGATAAACATGGTACATTCAGTAAATATAATTTCAACACAATGGAAGCATAGGATACATTTGCAGAAAGAGCTGGAGAAGTAGGTGAGCATTAAAATGCTAAAAAGGTACAAGGGAGGAAGAATTTTTTACCTTGAAATGGAATACAGTCTAAGGACATGATTTATGCTTAGAACTATTAACCCGAGTGTTAACAATTAAAAGAAAATTTTGGAATGACTTCATGTTTAATATTAAAAGAATAGCAAATTAATAATGCACTTTCATATTATGAAATATTATTCAATTACTAAAACATATTTACAATATATTTATAATATTTAATAACTATTTTAATAATCATTTTAAGTAATACTTTAAATTTTAAACTGCAAAATTGTACACAAAATGATTGCAACTATGTCAAAAACCTGTGGTTATAAAATAGAAAATAAAATACTGTAATTTTGAAAAGTTAATATTGATTATCTTTCTGAGGTTTAACAAGGTGAATTTTTCAAAACTTTATTATACTTTCCCTTATTTTTCAAGTTTTATGCAATGACTATGTATTATTTCATAATCATAGAAAGCAAATAAAATAACGGTGAGAAAATTATTCTTGGGTGGCCTTGATAACCAATGTATGGAGGAGAGATTGGGGCTCATAGAACTCACTGAAACTGTAGATCTTGCAATACTGTGGGTCTTTATATTTATTCATTTATGTTTAAAGATTTATTTACTTATGCATGCAAGAGCTAGGGTATAGGTCAGAGATGCAGGAGGGTGAGAGGATTCACCAGAGACAGAGTGGGGAGCAGAACAGGCAGACTGACCAAAACACGCTGCTGAGGGGAGCAGCGGGTGAGACAGGAGATCCGCTGCACCATGTGGGCTGCTCCCTGGCCAGCTGGGGATTGAACTCGTGCAACAGAGGCTGCGGATTGCTTCATAGTGCAGTATTTAACTCCTTGCACCACCAGGGAGGACTGTGGGTCTTTATATTTATCTTTGCACAGTGCTATATGGCTACCAACTGAACGAATGTTACAAGAAAATATAATATTCAAATAATAAAGCATCTTTTGAATATAGTATTTCTTCTAATTTAGAAACATAGCAAAAAAATCTCAAAAATAATTTGCTCCAATGTCCTTTTAGGTCTTATGGGAAATGTCCAATGTCCTATTAGGTCTTATAAGATCCTCACACCAAATGAGATTTATAAACATACCTGTTGTTTAGTACCTTAGACAAGACAATGGAAGAAAAGACAATTTCATTTTACCCAATTTATCTTTGCTTCACTAACCTGTAAAAGATGTTAAAATTGTATAGAAAACAACAATAAATCTTTGAATTCCTTTTCTGCCAGTCTATTTGAGATCTAGTGGGGAAATCCAAAAGAAGCACCAAATTATAAATGCTTGAGAAGTATTGAGAAACTTCAAACATACGGATTATGCTTAGCAGGATGAGGAGGTAATCAATGAAACTTTTTCCAAGATTAAGCTAGCTGGTGAACAGCAGACTTTTAAAATTATTTAATATACTTATCTTATGGAGCTTCAGGCAATTCTGATTGATTATGATGGAGAAGCTGTGATAATCGAATAAAGTCTTCTTCAGATTGACCAAAAAGCGAATGAGACGAACCCCAGGAAGAGCTAAAGATCTAAGAGGTTTCATACCTGAAACCAAATGGCAACAAAACCTGCTCCCTCTACACTCTTGGAATCTCATTGTATTACTGAGGTCAGAGATACTTCTAAATATGGTGATCATGCTTGAAAAATGGGATATGAGTTGTTATAGCTTCTTTTTAAAATTGGAAACAAAAATTAAGATTAATAGATGGTCAGAGTTCAGCAAGGAGTGAAGTTAAAAATTTGCCATGTTGCTTGCATCCCCTCAGTCAAACTAGTCATGATGTTGTTACTTACCTGTGTGCTTGTAAGTCACCATCCCTGAGATAACATCTCCTTGAGAGAATTGATCCACCGGGACACCAGCTTTTCTCACTACCCCATGCTGAGGTTCTTGAACTATTGTAAACATCAGTTTCAAGTCATCACTGTCCATATCAGTAGCAAAAATATATTCAGAAGATATGACTACTTCTTCGCCTTCTAAGCAATGCATCATGGGGATGAGGTCAGCCTTAAGCACTGGTGGCTCATCATTTACAGGGAATACCTACATAGGAAAAAAATAAAAGCATGTTTTCAAAGTAAAGAAAGCAGTGACAAATTGCCCAACTGGTAACCCATAGCTCATGTAGGAATGACAGGCATTTTCCATCTTCCAGACACATGAAACAATAGCCATGGAATTTGGCCAAACAGTCTGCGTCTTTTAACTTTCCCCATATGAACCATCTTGCAAGAAATGACCCACATGAGAGATATTTTAGGTAGGAATGGGAGAGTACAGTTATGGTTTGGGACTCAAAGCTCTCATTTGTTTCTAGACAGAAAAAAATATAAATGTAATATAAAGCATTCTTCACCAAAGCGCCCATCCTCCTTTGTTAAATTCACACATACTCTAGACGAAATCTGGTCCTTGTGGTCTGATGCATTTCCATTTACCACATCAAAGTTATTTATATTTCAAATTACTTGATGATTACAAAGCTTTTCTCCACCTCAACTTCCTGCCACCCAGGAAGTTTCTCAGGACTTACAATAAGCAGCAGCTGCATTTCAAACATTTTGAGTTAGATCTGAAACACCATAGCCATTAAATCAATGCAGGGTTTCAATTTGACATAACATTTTTCTCTCACTGTCATAAAAATAAAGCTCCAAGAAGAAAGAAAAGGAAAGCCTCATGGTATCACACTGGCTCTCTGAACTAAAAAGATAAGGCAGAATTTGAAAAGGCATGTTTTCTAAATGGAAATGAAAACCATTTGTCCTCTGAGTTCACAACCACAACTTGGTGTTTGCTGTGAGTTGATTTATCAAGTCTAGTCTGTAAATACTCTCAATCCTACATTTCCTTCCCCTATGCTTCCCCCAAAGTGATATTTTTTAATGTTTATTTTTCTTGAAGTATAATTAACGTATCATATTGTTTCAGGTGCAAAAATGATCATTGTAATCATTTGGTAATTTATAACTACAGCAGTGGTGAACAGAAAAGAGGGCTAGTCAAGAAAACCAGAGAATAGAGATGCCAGTCAAGGTCTCCACAGTCATTTTAATGACTTCAGAAAAGAAAGTGAAACTTCTTGGGTCCACATTTCCTTTGTTGTAAAATGGAGTAGCTGGTTAAAGCCTATCTCAGCAGTTCAGAGTAGAAGGTGGGACTCAACCTTGGAGGGAACATCCTTCCATCCAAAACGCACACATACACACACACACACACAGGCTCAACTCACCCTGAGTGGGATAATTTAGACATACCAGTTCATCTAATATTCACCATTTGAAGGTGTGGGAGGATTGAGGTGTATGGAAGAAAACCCATACAGACTTGGGGAAAAGGTACAAACACCACATAGTGGGTCCAACTGGGAATCAATTTTTTTTTCTTGTCAATGTTATAACAAAATGACATTGAAGAAAGTGATGTTGTTCAAGGTCCTGCTATACAAAGACATAAGCAGGCATGTCTTTGGACTCTGTGTTCAAGTTCTATGAGGGAATACCCTAAGAGGTTTCTAAACCAAAGCTTTATTTCTATCTAAACCAGAGAGAAAACTTTCCTCCTACCTCAATATGTAGAACACATTCTGCTGAATTTGTGCCATCTGTAACCTCCAAGAGTATGTCATCCTGAAGTTCCTCTGATCCATCATGCTGATATCTGTGGGGATATTTGTCACTGATCTCTCAAGGCCATGTGAGAGCACATTGAGATGCAAGATACAAGGGCTCTTCCATGTCTTTGGCCATGTTATCGATAAATAAATAATAAAAGAAACTCAGCATAAATGTAAAGTCACATATTTAACCACTCAAGTGTCCCTAGTGGTAAAATTGCTCCATCCTGAAAAAAATGTGATATTTATACTCACAACATTTCCCCAAACCAAAAGGCAGCCCTTCAAGTCATCGCAGTAACAATGGAAAATGGTTTTTACAGAGTCTCATTTGGTAGAAGAAATGAAAGACCTTAAGGAGAGGGGAACCACTGCAGTACCATAAGTTAGGGATTTCTCCATCTCTGACTGTCAGAGACCCTATTCCTGCTCCATGTCTTGCTTACCCAGCCTTCTCTACTTGTTTGGCTGAAAATCCCGAGCCCAGCAGAATAAATCAAAGGTTACACTAAAGACCTCAATCAGCAGAATTATATCCCAGAGTTTCCAGGATTATGAAATTGGCTTATCTTAAAGCCAGGTTCAATTATATAGACTAGTCTTGCAGATTATTTCAGTCCATATTCATCAAGTTTGACTGTTACCTCTTGTGATTTATGTAATTGCAGCAAATTTAATATTCATGGCAATTAATTTTTGTTGTTCAAATATCCTTAGCAAGCCAGAAGGAAAGGAAATTTCTGAAATGAAATAGGAAATTTGTCATTTTCCTTGTCATTTGTCATTTTCAAATGACCCTTGAGGGTACCCATATTGGTATACCCTCAAAACATTGGACAAACATTATTCTGCCTCATAATTGATTCAGACGGCAACAAAAGCTCTAAAAGAAAAAAAAGCCAGTAAATGCTCTAACCTAACTTTTAAGGTATGAAGCTCTCCCCAAGAAAATGTATCCCCTGTGTTTAGAGGAAATCCATTCAGCTCCACCCTTCCATATGGAGGCAGTCTCTGCAGGGAGAAGTGAATGTTGTCCAGTTTTGTATCCACATCAGAAACCAGAACATGCTCTGTGCTGATGACACTTTGACCTCCCTCAAACACTCTCAGAGGGCTGGTATATACCTGGAAAGGAGAAAGGAAACATTCAAGCCTTGTTCAGTGAGGTACTCCTGAAATCAAAACTCATGATGTCAACATAAAACTTCCAGTACCGTTATCATTGTCAATTAGTTTTTCAAGAAATTGGTGAAGACATATTTCTAGCTGACATCTGTGTAGCAGAAGCAGCAACCCAATTGGTTATTAGCAGTGACACTAAATGGATAAAATAATAACATTCATCATCATGTCCATACCCATCCTCACTCAACACATACATACTTCAATCTACAAAATGAACAAAACCTATATCAAATTCCCCTACAGTAAGGAATACACCTCTTTTTTCACCCCCAAAATCCTTAAAGCCTTGGGAAATGGATTGAAGCTTTTAAGCATGAGTTGTTGAGTATATTTAGAGATGCAAGTAGAGCAAGCAAAATAAAGATTCCATAGGAAAGAGATTTAAAATAAGACTGAAACACTAAAGCCATACAGATAACTCTTTAAACTAGAAAAACCCACTGTTCAACCAAGTAGTAATTCATTTGTAAGTGAAAAATAAGTTTGAAGAGCTTGAGATATTTTATCACCATATTCATTCAAAGCTGGTAAGAAGTGTTTCACAGTGAGATCAGCTTACAAAATTACATACAATATCTTCACTTTGGAAATTTGTAAGGCACATTAGTGTTCAATGCTCTGAGATCCTACAGTAGAAAAATCTTTTGGTTTTGTTTAGCCTATCATTTCCCCATGTTTGTATCACTACATAGAAGCAAAAACAAGTAGATGCAGCTGGGCTGCCAGGTTATTGGCACCAAGGGCCTCTCAGATGGTCTGGGGTGAATTCCCGGCTAGTGAGTAGACATAGCATTCTCCAAAAAGCATCCACTATTTTAGAGCAGCTGCCATTGCCAGAAAGGAGAATGTTCCTATTTAAAAATAATGTTTAGGTAGGCATCTGTTACCTATTTGAAAATAATGTTTAGTTTTATGGATGGGTAAGTCCCTTGGTCCTTTAGGATAAGAACTCTGCCCTACAAATATGCACAGGTAGAGAGATGGTAAGGAGTGGGCAGGAAAGGGAACATTAGTGCTTCCCTGGCTATAATCCAGACAGGTACCTGCAAAGGTAACCTCTTTCCTTAGGGATGAGATATGTAGGTTCAGTCCCCTCTGGCTGTTAGTGAATAGGAAATCTTACTTTGTCTTTCTGCTTTTGAGGGGAAAAAATATACCCAGGAATAGCCATACTAATTAAGTCAAATATTCTTTTTGTAAGATTGAGTGATTGATTGATGCATACAAGAACTGGGGTATAGGCCAGGGTGTGGAAGGTGAGAAGATTCACCAGAGACAGCGTGGGGAGCAGAACAGGTGGATCTATTGAAATACACTGCTGAGAAGAGCAGCTGGCGAGACAGGAAAGGTCCTGTGGGTTAGCTCCCTGGGCAGGGATAGAACTCATGCCACAGTGGCTGGCAATAGCTTGATAGCACTGAGACTTAATCCCTGCACCACCAGGGAAGCCCTGTCAAGCATTCTGATATGGAGGGAGCAGGGTCTGAAACAAATATATTAAATGCTTATCTTGAAGATACGATGAAAAAGGTAGCATCTCTTTTGTAGTTGGTTTTTAATGAAAGATCCAACTGCTTTAAAGCTTATATAAATTTTGAGTTGGACAAGATAGGATGGAAGAAATTATCATAATTCATTTTGGAAAATTAAAGAGCTTATTTTGATTACAGAGCGAGCAGCATGACTATCTTGTGGTGAGAGCAAATAAGCCCTCTGGTTACTAAAAGACCTGTAATTTAATCCCCTTCCCTGATCAACATGCAAAATGGAGAGAAGAAGGGAGGGGAGAATATTTTGATAAGGCTTTGAAAATAATGTCAAATTCAGCACCTAGAAAATCTCACTGTTTAGGTAGAAAATCCCATGGGAGGTAAAAGATTTCCCCTCCCCATGCTTTTTTATTTTTTTCCTATATTGTAGTTAGAAAATAAAAAAGCTCTTTGAAATAGTCTGGAGAAAAGTTAGCATTTCCAGTAAATCTTAAAGTCTTTCTTTTTTTAGGCCTTACCTCCTTTTCATCCTTCATATCAAACACTGTACATACCTCAGGAACTTGATTGTCCACTGGAAGAATCACAATGTTGAAGCAGATCCCATACAAAGTGCCCCCATGCTGGTTAGTGATGGAAAATGTGAACTGAACATGTCGTAGATGGGGACCTATATCTTCCATGGGAGGCATGTAGGCCACTTTCATATAGTTTACAGCATCCTGCAAAATATATTGAGATAGATATGTGGGTTCTGATTTATGAGACCCTCAGAGACTTGATCTAAGAAATCTGTCATGTTAAATGACATTGAATACTGTAAATGCCACCATCACCAATTTGAAGATTCCAAAAAGCTACTATTTTGTCACCTTTTCTAAAAATCTGGAAGGAAAACCACAAAGAAAATAAGTAAATATGTCAAGTGGTTGAAGGCAGCCAACTCTGTAATGATAGGAGATTTGAATTTCAACCCAGTTCCACCATGAAGTAGTTATGGGATAGTGGTCATGCTACTTAAACTTACTAGGCCTCTTTTTCTTATCTGTTAAATGACTAAAATAATAGCATTTAGCACATGGGGTTGATATATTTATTTACATTCTCAAACTACAGTTATATTAGGCATCATTAGTTCCAAGCCACATCAGCAGCTGCTGCCTAAGTTCTGGTCACCATTATTGTGACCCTGTAGGATTTCACACTGGTATCCACAAGAGTATGGAAAAGGTTAACAAAGGATGTTGAAATGCAGTAGACTGCCCTCCCCCCAAAAATGTATGGAACTCCTAATTCTCAATACCTAACAATGATATTATTTGGGAATAGAGTTGTTGCAGATTTAATTGTTTGATACAATATAAATTGTATACTTTTTAATGTAGAGAGAGATATACGAGAAGGGGTTGGTAACAGATGGCAAAGTGGAGACTGGAGTGATAATATACAAGCCAAGGAATGTCAAAGATGGCCAGCAAACCACTAGAAGTTAGGAAAACACAAGGAAAGCATCCCCTACAGGATTTCAGAGGAGTGTAGCTCTGCCAATATCTTGATTTCAGATTTTTAGCCTCCAGAAGTATTTGACAACAGATGTCTGTTTCAAATCACTCAGGTTGTGGTACTTTGCTATGGCAACCTTAGAAAACTGGATAAGGCAGTAGGGCACTGGATAAGCTGAATTTGGTGGAATGAAAACATGTCTCAGGTCCCTAAGTCTTGTTCACAAAACAATGCAAAAGACTGTGATGAATTATAACAAGATTTTAAAGTAATATTCAACTTGATCAAACATTTACAAATCAATATCACATGCTTACTGGAAATATGCAAGCAGAAAGAATGACTAGCTCAAGCATTTGTCCTCCCAACAAACAAAAGTCCAGGACAAGATAACTTTGCTGGTGAATTCTACCAGACATTCAAATAAGAATTAATACTAATCCTTCATAAACTCTTCCAAATAATAGAAGAGGAGGTAGCACCTCTAACCCGGTTTTATAAGGCCAGCATTTCCCCAATGCCAAAACCAAGACAAGGAAACCACAAGACAAGAAAATTATACACTAGTGTCCCTGATGAACATAAATAAAAAATCCTCAGCAAAATATTAGCAATCAATTTTTTAATACATTAAAAAGGATCATCTACCATAATCAAATGGTATTTATTCAAGAGATGCAAGGATGGCACAACATCTGTATAACATACCACATTAACAAAATGAAGGATAAAAATAATATGATCATCTCAATAGATGCAAAGAACTTGACAAAATTCAACATCTATATGTGATAAAAGGTCAACAAACTTGGTATAGAGGGAATTGAATCAATACAGTTTGTATACAACAAGAAAAGGATGTCCACTCTCACCACTTTTATTGAACATAGTATTGGAAATCAACAGTTAGAAAAAAAGGAAATAAAAGATATGTGAATTAAAAGAAGTAAACTGTCAATATTTGTAGATAACATGACAGTATTTGCAGAAAACTACAGATTCCACCAAAACAAAACTATTAGAACTAGCAAATTAATTTACTAAAGTTGTAGGATATAAAATCAATATATAAAAATTTATTATATTCCTGTATACTAACAGTAATCTATCATAAAATAAATTAAGAAACAATTGCATTTACAATTGCATCAGAAAGGAATTTATTTGGGGCCTCCCCAGTGGCGCAGTGGTTGAGCGCTGGGTTGCGAAGCTGCCCGCGGCCTCTGTGGTGCCGGTTCGATCCCCGGCGGCTCCCCGGCCACCGGAGGAGGGTCCCACATGGCGTGCAGACTGCTGCTCCCCTCAGCAGTGTACTTCTGTCCTTCTGCCTGCTCTGCTCCCCGCTCTGGCTCTGGTGAATTCTCTCACCCTCCCGCGCTTCTGACTGTACCCAGTGCTTGTATAAATAAATAAATAAATCTTTAAAAAATTTAAAAAAAAAAAAAGAAAGAAAGGAATATATTTTACCAAGGAGATAAAATACGTGCACACTGTAAACTACAAAACAGTGATAAAAGAAACTGGAAAATATAAGTAAATGTTAATAGAGTCCATGAGAAAGGGCTCAAAGAATTTGTATTGTTAAAATTTTCACACTACCCAAAGCAATATACAGATTCAGTGCAATCTCTATAAAAGTTTCAAAGGTATTTATCACATAAATGGCATAAATAATTCTAAAATGTATGGAACCACAAAAGATCTCAAATAGCCAGAGCAACCTTGAGAAAGAAGAACAAAGCTGGAGGCATCATGGTCCCTGATTACAAAGTTATAATAGTATTTGAGACAGATGTCAAAGGCCAACACTAGACTTGCTATATTCTCTTGGAGAACATTTCTATCACGTTTGTCAACATTTGCACATAACATCATACCTGAGTGAATGACGTCAGCCCTACAGCTGTAGGATTTTTGGTTAGCTTTGGTATGCTGTCCACCATGAATAATTTCCCAGCATCCAAGTGTCTAAAAAGAAACATGGGCGAATAGGCTATTTTTCCAAATACAAATATTCAATAGAATAGTCCACTACCAAACTTTTTGATAATTACAAGGCTCAATAGGAAAATAAAAGTTACACCAGGTTCTAATCTTAAGTCCAGTATCATCAATAGCATTCTCATCATAATTGCAAAAGTATGTCCAGAATTTTCTGCTTGCCCATCATAAAAGGGCATCATGATTCTCATAAGTTTGAGATTCGAGTAAATGCTGAATTTAGTATACATTCATGTCCAACCAACAGAGCAACTGAACCACAGTACTAAATATTGATAATTTTGACTGTCTTATCCTAAATTATAACCGTCAATGAATATCCCAGGTGATGACTTTTCTGAGATACCTGTGACTGGAGTTGAAAAATGGAGGAGTTGTTATTGTGTAGAGCAGCTCCCCATCATATGATTCTGTATCTATAAAATGTAAGTGTTTCTTAGTTATGTAGGCCACCTCAGTTTCCTTGACAACCAAATGTCGAGAAACTCCAGGAGCCTCTTTTGGAAGCTGGTCATTCACTGGAGTGATATGGATTGTCACCACCTGGAAAAAAATGATTGGTACCTTTAATTTGAAATGCCAAAAAGACATCAAAGATGACACCCCACAATCACCTACACTTAAGATGACATTCAAAATCTGACATTTATAATATGCTTTCACTTAAATGATTCAGGAGCTGTTAAGAATTTGAACCAAATATGGAATATTTCCAACCTCCATTATATTTTAAGAATATAATTTTCACAATTACAGTTTATACAGTCATGAGTATATAGAATGCTAAAACACAAACTATGTTTCTGATTATATTTCTATACTTCCTTCCACCAATATCTGTGATTACTTTATGTCCCTCTAATCATTCATTGATCCTAGAAAACATAACATAACTTTTGGTCACTCATTCTCTGTATACATATAACACATCACCACATCCAAAAGTTACTACTTATAAAATTGCCTATATAGTGATCACATCCCATTCCACCCCCATGTCTAATTCCTACCATTAATGACCTACCTCCAGCTCTCATTTCTCCCTTACATTATTGTAACACCTCTGGTAGCCCTGAATATAATAGCTAATATAGATTTTTCATACCCCTAGTGTTATCTTTAAAATAATAAAAGTCAACTCAGGTTATTCACCTCCTCAAAAATTTTATACCACCACCAGTTATTCAACCTCCCGAGCATAGTACCCAAGACTCTCCACGGTTTAGACACATTCTAATTTTCAACTTTATCTTGCTTACCTTTCAACATTAATCCAGCACTGAAATTGTGTGTAATGGACCCTATCTAAGTATTTAAACATGCTTTGGACCATGTTGTTGTTTTTTGGTTTTGTTTTTTTAAATCTAGAATGCTTTCATCCTGCTTTCTCCAGCAATCTGAATCATCCTTACCCTTGAACACATTTCTTGAAATTGGAATTGGAATTGTTCCTCAATTGGAATTGTTCCTCAATTTTGCTTATCCCTCAGTAAACATTTTTTATTCTAAATTAGTAGTTTACATGTCAATCTTTCCTACGAGAACAGACGTACAGTGCAAACTACAGGGATTTGGCAGTGAATAGCTAAAGTCCTGAGTATACATTAGTTATTGATCCTGAACAAGTTACTAAACTTTTTTGAGAGTAAACATTCTTATTTGTAAGTTAAGCTTAATGCCATCAACCTCATAGATTTGTCATAAGGATAAAACAGCACTATGTAAATAAAATGCCTGGAATGTTGTAGGTGCTCAATTATATTCATCTCTATACTCCACAAAATCTGACACTGTATTTTGTGTTTGCTAACCGAATGACTCAGTTCTCCCTTTACCCCTGTTTATCTTTTTAAGAATTCTTAAAACCACACTTAAAATTGATAGTGCTAGAGGGCAAGATGTCTTTGCCAACTGCTTTTATCATCCTGTTTGTTTACAATAATCCACAAATGGTTGCAAGAAAGCAATTACTTACACTCTTGAAATGGTACATTTGCTTGGGCTGACACAGCCTGAGGCATGAAAGTGTACTTACTCTGATGTTGTGTTGTGTTGTTTGTTTTTTAATATAATCATTGAAACATTGATCAGCAATGCCAGTTTTGTCTACAATGATGGTATTCACAATACCCAGTTTGAAAATGACATACAACGCAAAAACTAAACTATGGTTAAGTTTTTGTTTAGATATAGAAAAGTCTGGCATATCAGCTCAGCCGCCTACAAACTGTGCTCCCTGAAGCAAATTATTTAATTCCTTTGGGATTCAGCTTTTCTCTCTGTACATTAGGAATAATAATGATGACTATCACAGCAAAGTGTTCTCCAGATCAAACAAGTTAGCTAGCAGTGCAATAAGTACCTGATAATATGTGATCAATAAATCAATTCTCTGTATCTCTCCTTCATTGCTTTCTGAATGCATGTCAGCAAATTAAGCATCTTCTGAAGCATTTCAATAATTAAAAACTAAAACGAGTTACCAAAATAAAGGAACACAATGAAAGTCATTTCTCCAGTCTCTGGGAGTCTGTGTCAAGATTTTTTTTCAATTATAGTTTTTTGCTAATCTACAAAGTTCAGAAATTCTCTATGGGATCTCCCAGCCATAGTATGGATCAGTGAGGCTTCACTTAATTGAAAAACTGGATTTAATAAGGAAACAATAGTTATTGTGCCTTCAAAGAGACCATTTTCCATGCTAATTTATTCTCCAATGTGTTTTTTGTGTAAAAAGAATGTATAAGCCTATTTTTTTATACCGCTGTAGTAATTCTTGGAGGGCACATTTTTCAACATGCTTTATGATCCCCTTAGTTGATGTGTCTTTACATATTTATTCATGTTTAAACAATTATTGTGTGCATGTCTGTGAGTGAGAAAAACTGATCTTAACAAACTCCACAGAGAAATAAAGTGTTCTCATTGTACTGAAATTGTCTAACAAAGACATTATTAAACATCCATTCCCAGACAGTGGAAAATTAATGCCCAGACCAAACTTTGGCCTCTTGCTTGCTGCCTTTACCTCCTACTCTCCAGACTAGTATGGCCACATGCCCCCACAGACAGACTTGTAGGGAATCAGAAGACAAAATGATAAATTGGTATACAGAATGACAAACCTGACTGACTCAGAATTAAGCTCACAATATGACACTTTACTAGCTGGTATCTGGCTTTCTTGTAGGCTTGGGTTGCCCTTTTCCCTGCCTGGAGCTGAGATTCCTGCCTGATTCTGTATCTGGTATCTTCCTTTGAAACTACTCAGTGCTATATCTCACTGCCAGTAAATTTTTCCAGTGTCAGTTTTGCCCACCCCAAATTCTGATCTGACTTTGGATAAATGCCCACCCCCGTGGGTGCCTGTCCTTTCTTATGGCCATATTCATTCATTCCTCTCCCTTCCACTGCACCCACAGATCTTTGAGACACTCCTGCCTTCTCCCTCCACTTCTCGGTCCTCTGTTTGCTTCTCTCTCCTCTTCTGATTTCCCACTTTCCATTTTACTTGTAATTTTATTCTCTCCTGGTTAAAATCTCTTCAGGCTTAAGCACTTTAAAGCCCTCTACTGAGAAGGATAAAGAAGGAAATAATTTTCTGAAGCAAATTGAGTGGTTAAGACAATCATGGCAACCAAGATAAAAAGAGGGAGAAGTTTCTTGCTAATATGTACAGATTTGTTGATGTGTGGATCATTCAGCAAGCTCCACCCCCACCCCAGGCTAGGTCTTTTTATGTCATCTGATATGAAATATGAAATCACTATAATGTGAGGCCATTATTTGTTGTATTGGATCAGTTGTGAGCTCACTGCTGGCAGGAATTCTGAATTATTCATTTCTGTGTCTTTAGGCATTGATGTCTTACTCAGAAGAGAATCCTAAGAAATGTTTGCTGATTCCAAAATGAATACCTTGGTTCTTTCAACTTTTATTGAAATTAGGAAGAAATAAGAAGACCCAAATATTTGTTATGGACTGGGGGAGGTCTAAAATGGGGAGGTAATATGTATTAACGCTTTATTCCTCAAGAGTTTCCAGCAATTAATGTGTGCATAACAACAAAAAAAAGCATCATGTGTGCATTCTGTTAAGATTTTTTGTGTTGTAAATTCCTGATATCTTTGAAACTGCAATTATTAAGGGACTCAAATGATCATATAGACTGATGATTGTCTTTCCAGCTAGGACATCTAGTAATGTCCTACAATTTAAAATGTATTTCAAGTATTCAACATAATCTGCAACTATCAGTTGTTCAATGAAATGTACAGAAACCACATACTTCCTTTACTGGAAATAAAGGCAAAGAATCTCTTCAGGTAAAAATCGGTCTAATAAAACAGGATGAAAGCTACATCAGCATAGATGCCCCTTATAGCCTCTTATTCTTCCCACTGAATTCTCCTATTGGGAGATCCAAATAACATCTCCCAGATTTGATATCCATGGACAAGACTGGGGAAAGTATTAGATATAGACCTTTACCTGTGGTGCTGAGAGATTTGGAGGTTCATGACTATCCCATAGGACAAATTCAAAAGAATCTTCAAAGATTTCTCCACCAAAGTGACGATAGTAAATAATGCCATTAAATAGATCCCTCTGAAGGAAGCCAGGGACAGGATAGCCTATTGAGTACACAAAACACATACACTTTTGTAAGTATCTGCCAGATGTTGGGGTATAACAATACTGGATTTATCTCCAAATATCTTCTCTGCCTAGCAGTTTGTGTGGACCCAGGGAATATTCATTAAATGCTTTGTCAAGGTGTGTCAATTAAAAAAAGCCAAACATTAAACTTATTTAGAAAAATTAGCATAAGAAAAAGTATTTTCAAGAAATAGTCGTAACACTGACTACTTGATCCCTATTTTGCCAAATTTCTGTTCTACCTACTTCCAAGAAGGAGCTAAATATCTGTCCTATCATCTTGTTTTGCAGATTTAATTTTTCTTAATGTAACAGTTACTTCAAGATTCAGCTGTAGAACTTTCCACATGTACGTCCTTGGAAAGATAACTACTCTTAAATCTCAGGCTCCGCATTTACAAAACTGGAATAATAATTTTAAAAAAAGATATTCATCATAGCACAGATTCTGACACAAAGGATTTTGACTGCCCAGAACTTACCTATCTGGCCCGGACCTGGCTTTTTCATGATCTCTCCAGCCTGCGGAGGTTTTGTGATATTAAAGAAGATGTAGTCATCACTAGAGTCCATGTCTGAAGCTCTTAGCATGGATCCCTGAATCAGTACGGTCTGCCCCTCCTCCAATTCAATCACAACATTGGTTATGAGGAATGGGGGACTGTCATCTTTGGGCAATATATTGATGGGAAACTTATGGCGGATGCTGTGATGGCCATCAAATATTCTGAAGACCACAAAATCTTTAGTGGAGTCACTGTCATCATGATGATAGCGAATAATTCCAGCCTGAAGGTCAGCCACAGTGAAGAGAAATCCTTTACCCCCTGTTGGAGAGAGCAGAGAGCTGATTGAAAAGGGAGGTGTGGAGGTGACAGCTATAGAAAAAGCTAGAGCCCTACAGAAGAAGGTATTGAGGAAAAGATGTGGCCAATACTTCCCTTGGCTGACAAAACAAGTGTTGGTTAAGTGGGCTCTGGACACTCACAGATGTGGTCATGAGTACCTGCTGTAACACTACCCAGTGCAGACTTGTGCTGAGTATTTATTTGAGTGTCATTTATAGAACAGGATTAATAATACCCACCTCATAATTCCTGATAAGAATGAGGGAATTTAAACAACGGTAAACTGTAATAAATATTATCTATTCTTCAACTCATTACTATCATCCCACATGGCAGAACTTCTCAGAGGAATAATCTTAAATCAGTAGCATCAGCACCACCTGGGAAATGAAAGTTCTTAGATCCAGAATTTCTGAATCAGAAATGCTGGAGTTGGAACCCATTAATCTGTGTTTTATCAAGTTCTCCAGGAGAGTCTAATGCATGCTAAAGTTTGAGAATCACTGGTTTATAGATCAAGAGCTAGAACTGTGGTTTCAAATGATCTAGGTTCAAATCCCATCTCTGTCTCTTTCTATATTTTAGAACAGTCAATTTCTGTATGTTTCCAGTTACTCATTTGTAAAATAGTTATAAAAACAGAATCTCACTACAGAAAACTGATATAAAGATAAATTACATAGAATACATTGCATCTGACACAAAGTAAATGCTTAATAAATATAAGTACTATTTTCTACCATCCCTGAACCCAGGCCACCATTGCATGATGGGCTACCACTTTCCATTTCCACAGTATTGATTAGCATTGCTTCACTCTCCAACTATTGCCCAACAGCCACTTACTGCTTCTTTCTCAGTAACAGAATCATAGATGAAACCATTTTAAAATACTGAGGTTACCAGACTCTGTGGGGTAGTTTATAAGTTGGCACTGAGGGATAGTTTATAAGTTGGCAGGTGATATAAATGCAAGTCATTGTATCAGGCTCCAGGAAAAGTTGTTAAAGAGAGTCCATTTAAATGGCATAACTTTATTTTCCTTTCTTTCTTCCGTCCTTGAATGCAGACCTGAAGCCTGGAAGTGTAAGCGCCATCTTGTGACTACTGGTGGAGCAGAAAGAGCTGCTGGCCTTACAGATTGGATCAGAATGCCTACCCCCAGGCAATTGCCCATTTAGGAAAATGATGAATTTTTAAGACAATGTAATTGGCTTTCCTTTGCATGGAGGTGAATTGCCTACCTTAACTAATATGCCCAGACTTAAGCTGGCCTCCAAATGTCCTGGGATTAGGTAAGCAAATTTACCATGAACTTAGCTTTTTATTTTTAATTGCAGAATTCCCTAATCACAAATGTTGACAAATAAGAACTCTCTGATTTATAGTTAGGCAAACTAACACAATGGAATTGAGTTAAATCCTCTGAGTTCACTACAAGGAATGTAAAATAATTTTATTATCATAAAATATGAATATTATTTTTATTAGGGCCATTACCTTGTTAACTACTATCCTTATAATTGCAAATCCATTTCTTTAAAACTGTTACCAATCAAATAATTTTTACTAAAGTATTAAGAAACAGAAGTGCTTCTGTTTTTCAATATATTTCTCTGAAGTAGAGAAATGAGAGAAAAATATTTTCACTCCCAACTGGGATAAAATCATCAGTTAAGGAGGATATTTAAAAGGAGCCCAACATGCATCCAGAAAACAAGACTGAGATTTAAATCATGAGTTAAACATAAGGTATCCTCTTCAGCCACTGATGGAAGCATCCTAACAGATTCTCAACCTCGAAAGATCTCCACACTTTCTGATATGACAATTTACTTAGAAATGGGGCTCTAGAGATGCTATACATATCTTATTAAATATAAATTGTTTTTGAGAAAACGCTCCTTAGATGCTTTTCGAGATTACAAAGATTGATCATTCACCTCCTAGTGTAAGCCGTCCATGCTGCAAGCCATCCACGGTAACTAACTGGACAGCACGAATATTATCATTGTCAACAATCTGGAAGTGTTCCCAAGTGATGGGTCGAGACTGTCCCTCCAGCAGATTCAGACCTAAAGAGAAAGTAGAAAAGTGTTCTGGAAAATTCTATTACAGGCCAACTTGACTAATGTAAGACAAGATACATGAATTTTCACTCAAATACACTGGTTGAAAAATTTTATTTTCAAAAGCTTTTTAAGAAGCTGAAATTTAGTTTTTATTTTTAGCAATATTCTTACTTTTAGTACAATTAACTACAATTCAATAACTGGTTCCTTATGATATATCCTTTAGAGGCATCATGGTGCCAGAAAATAAGTAATGAAGGAAAGAATAGATGTGCTGTTCAGTGTCCAATAGTTCAAAAATGCCCACAGTGTTTCAAGGCTACATCCAGGTATTTCAAGTAGGCAAAGAATTGGAAGTACTTTTACATATATACTGTGAGCTCAAAAGCAGCCCACAGGACAGAAAATGTAAAGTGGTTAAATATGCAAATACAAGCAATGATGCCCTGGGAGTTTTTAATGATGTGAGACACAAAGCTTCTGACATTTTGCAATGAAGCCTATATTTTAGTTTAGCATCTAATAAGGAAGGGACTTTTGTAACCAAAGTGATTAAAAGAATCATAAAACAGATCTGAGCTGTTTAAATAAATAAAGGAGTTGATAGAACTAAGACAGTGGAGCCAGTGAATGCTCGCTCCCCTTCAATCTGTCCAGTCTCCCTTGCCTCCCCAGTCTCCACCATTAGTCTCTCTCTTGCTGCAGTGGCCCCATGAGGGTTCCTACAGTCCTCACAATTGCAAAACCCTGGCTGCCACCATTACTGCAGCTGCTCATCTGGGTAGTTACTTCCACTGCTCTTCTGGGCAAGAGTCGTTTGGGCATCACCTCCCTTGTGACCCTGGCCAGCACCTACCCCATGGGACTCAGGAAGTCTGGTCAGCAGCTGCTAAGAGGGGTCAAGTAACACCACCTGGATTTGTGGGGAGCTGCATCAGTGAGGCAAGCTGACCAAGGTGAGGTGGGAGATGGGAAGGAGCTGACAGATGTTCACCCTTTCCGCACCCCAGCTGACTCCTCCCACACATAGTGATTCCATCTCATCCTGGACATTTCAGCACTACAGAGCTTACGTTCTTGTGAAGCTGTGACCAGCTCAGTCCACGGCATCTACTTCCTTCCTGACTTCCCTTCCCCTCCCCCGACTCGCTGTCAGTGTAGGGTTAGCACATACAATGCACTTCAGGGTCTTTTTGCTGGGGAACCTGGGCTAAGACATATAATACGTGGAAAACAGAAGAAAGAATGGGGAAAGGGGACAGTGATGGAGAAGGAGGAGACAGGCAGGGGGAGGGGAGGGAGGCGGCCATAGCAGCAACAGTGGGAGGGGAGAGGGCAATAAGAGAATGAGGACTAGGGCCTTCCCGGTGGATCAGTGGGTTGAGTGCCACACTGTGAAGCTGTCCACAGCCTCTGCAGCGTGGGTTTGATTTCCAGCCTGCAAGGGAGATACCCTCATGGCACAGCAGACCTTTCCTGTCTCGCCCACTGCTCCCCTCAGCAGTATTTTCGGTCCTTCTATCTGTTCTGCTCCCCGCTGTGTCTCTGGTGAACCCTCTAACTTTCCTGCCCCTCTAGCCTTTACCCCAGCTCTTGTATATAAATAAATAAATCTTAAAAAAAAAGAATGAGGGCCAGCACATATAAAGACTCTGAACTGGCAATAAGGGTATTCTAACTAAAAGGCTTCAACACAGAGAAGGCATCAAGGCACACAGTAGAGCAAGCAAGAAGACTGGAAGTATATCTACAAAATACTATCAGTGGTCATGTCTTCGTGGTAGAGAAATAAACAAATTATTCATTATGATTTCACTTATTTATTCATGACTATTCTATTTTACCTATTTTTCAGGTTGTCAATGATGAACATCTATTCAGCTGAAAATGAGGTAAAATTCATTTTTAAAAGGATCCCAATATCCAAAGCAGCCAAACCGGATGCAGAGCTGTCTCCATAAGCCTGAGGTTCACAGCTCACACATACACACACACACACACACACACACACACGTAGATATTAAGTCTCTAAACGCAAGCAATAATTGACTTAACATGTGACCACTATTAAAATTTGGGTTACCAAGTCCTTAATTTCTCTCCTTATCCTGCTAACAGAGGTAGAGAGGGACATAGAGTGTCCAAACAATATATCAAGTCTGTTCACCTGACATCCTCATCTATACTAAAACCCATATTTAAATGCATCTGCCTGAGTACATGCGTCCATGTGCAAGACACAGACACACACACACACACACACGAGGTGTCATCTGATGATTCAAGCCATACGCAGGTAATTTCCCCTCAACAGAATATGGCACCCACCATCTGTATGCATGCGTTTGCATGCTACCGATAGACATGCTGGAAAGAAAAAAATACTTAAAACTCCACGTTAACAGCTTACCTAAATACATACACTTCATTATAAGTTTACTCAGAAATGAGAGGCAGTGTAAAGCCTTTATTTTTTAAAAAGTCACTTTAGCTCATATACGTGAATTTTGGTTTCCATACAAATCAATTTAAAAATAAGAAATTAATTAAAATCTACACCTTCCTTTAATTCGTCTGAATAATCATTGAATTTGGAAACTTTTCTCTCACAATCCAACCTAAGATCAATATCACAAATAGTCACTTTTTGCCTCAGTTGGGTGAAATGTATCCTTCTGGCTTACCTCCCGAAGAGGAAAGAATTTGACTTCATAACATGGGAATCACGTATTTAAATTTCTCACTCTGGGCCCTCCCTGGTGGCACAAGGGGTTAAGACGCAGCCTATGGGGCTGTTCATGCAGCCGCTGCAGTAAGAGTTCGATCCCTGGCCAGGGAGATACCCACATGGCGCAGCAGACCTCTCCTGTTGTGCCCACTGCTCCCCTCAGCAGTGCATTTCAGTCAATCTGCCTGTTCTATTCCCCGCTCTGTCTCTGGTGAATCCTCTCACCCCCTGCACCTCTGGCCTGTACCCCAGTACTTGTATGCATAAATAAATAAATCTTTATAAATAAATAAATAGATAAATAAATAAATAAATAAATTTCTCGCACTGTCACTAGGAAAAGAAAACAATCCAACTATTTGATGACTTTAACTTGTCTGGGTTTCAGCTGCATTTTGTGTGGAATGGGAATACAATGACCTTGCTTTCCTGACCCATATAGTTTCTCGTGTTTCCCTCAAGGGGATGTTGCTGGACCCCTGTGTGGTCGGGAGCGTCACCTGTGTTCCAGGACACCCGAGGGGCATCTGTATCAGCTGTTCTGATGGAGATGTGGACTGTGATAGGTGCGCTCCTTTCAAAGAAGAAGTCATACACCTCCAGCTCCACCTGGAAACAAACAGTTGCATAAGAACCACAGATGGACAAGGTATTATATAAAATACTGTAACTTCTGGGGTATATAAGGCAAAAACACATTCAGGTTTCTGGTGCTGCCTGATCTCCTTTTTTGACAAGCTGATCTAACTTTTTTTCAGGCTCCAGATCTTCCTTAGCTTCTCAATATTTTCTAATTTTCATCTCTATAAAAGAATTTCTTAACCTGAAAAGAGCATCCCTGCATTTGCTCAGGAGACTATGTCAGTCTAATATCAGACCACTCAGGCCTCTCTCAAAGATAAAGCATCCTGAGTAGTGGTTCTCAGCTGGGGATGATTTTGTTCTCCCAGGCACAAAAGGAAGTATCTGGGACATTTTTGGTGAGGAAGGGAATACTCTTGGCATCTAGTAGGTAGAGACCAGGATGCTACTCACAGAACAGGCCCCAAGAGAAAGAATTGTCCATCTTAAATGTCAATGGTGCTGCTCTTCAGATAGTTTTTGAGGCAATTATCCCACTGGATATATTTTTAACTATCTAGATTTACTTGTCCCCATGAAATCCATAGCTAGTAGATGGGGCTCCATGATATGTTTTGAGCCTTATTACATGTTATGGATGTATGCTAGCAGGTGTTGACAGAGAAGGATGAGGTTTGATGCAGAAATAGAAGGCACACTGCCTGCTTCTGTGTGGTCTGAGAAGATAAGCAAAACAACCAAACAGCAATATATCAGCAAATAGTACATAACAAAAGAAACAGATTCAAGAGCACCAACATAACAGGCAAAAAAATGAAACTACAAGGAGGCAGGGAATGTCTTTCTGGAGGTGTAACATAAATATTTATTAGGTTGAGTCATACGCAACTGGATATTATGTACTCCCTATGGAAATTTTTTCTCAAATAAATGCCTTATAAAATGAGTTGTAATTTTATTATTATTTCAAGTTGAAACTGCAAGTCCAAAGGAAAGGACGGCCTTAGCTTTGGAGCCCAGGGAATGCTCAGCTACTTTCAGGAGCACTGCCCTGTCCCACCCCAGGTGGGCACCACCCCAGGCAGCCAAATGAACACAGTTTTATAGAAGCCAGGGCTTCTAGCCTCTACCATCTGAAAAGCACATTATCCCCAATGAGAAAATTGAATGTTACCATCTCACAAAATAATCACACATTTGGACAGCTTCTGCTTTAAGATTACATTATGCAATGCCAGAAAATACACCCAAGCAGCAGCCAGAGCAGCAGTGCTTTATTTGTGAACTTGACATAAATCTGGAAGTCCCGTGAGAAATTACTTCAGAATATGGAAAGAATGAGAGAGGTGAGGGCAAAATTGCCATATACGCATATAACTATTATGAAATGAAGAAAAGCAAAGCAAAGGGCAAAGCAAAGCATTTATAGTCTGGATTCTTTTGTGTGCCCTTGAGGCCTAATGCTGAAAAAGCCTAAATTAAATGGAGGACAATTTGGTAACCCCAGGGACACTTAATAAACCTGAACTAAGTCTGTATCAATCTGTTCATTTAAATTTTCCATCCTGTTTGAATCAACTTGCTGGTAGGTCTTTAAGTATGTGAAGGGTTATTATGCGCAAGTCTGTAACCAGCTGTTCTCCACTCCCACTGAATACAAAAAGAAAGAGGTTGAAACTGCAGCAGAAAGGATTCAAGTTAGACCAAAAGAGAACTTTCCTGATGTGGTGACTGATAGTGAAATTATTGGGTTGTTGGAAAAGTCAGAATGTATTTTTTCTATGGTTTTCAAGCAAAAATGCATCACGTCTTTTCCGACAACCCAATAGTTATTAAAAGGGGGCCTGCGTCACTATTTTTTTAAAGATTTATTTATTTATACAAGAACTGGGGTACAGTTCAGATGTGCGGGAGGATGAGAGGATTCACCAGAGACAGAGCAGGGAACAAAACAGGCAGACTGACTGAAACACACCGCTGAGGGGAGCAACGGGCAAGACAGGAGAGGTCTGCCGCACCATGTGGGTAGCTCCCTGGCCAGCCGGGATTGAACCCGCGCTGCAGAGGCTGCAGACAGCTTCACAGCGCTGCACTCAACCGCCTGAGCCACCGGAGATGCCCTGAGTCAATATTATTAATGGAAATTAAGGAACCCAGTGAAAAGCTCACACAAACCAAAAAGAATGAGAATTTTAATGAAACTGTGAACAACGTCGATTTCTAATTCAATGGTCTATGTGATGCAGGAAGGCTGATGCGAACACCAGAGTCCTCAAACTGGTAATCCCTTGCAAAGTGTGGCCCAAGGAAATATTTTGTAGGTGTCACAAAATGTTTTAATTTTTTTATAGGTTTCTGTATTAAAAAATTGAATTGAGGCTACCAGAAGGGGAGGTGGAGGGTGAGAGTAAATAAGAAGGGGGCACAATGGGCTATGGTGAGGACTGTGGGTGCCTTGGGGGTGGGCGCGGTGTAGTAACAAAGCCTGAAGGGGATGGTCATTACACCTCTGAAACATATACTGGTTATAGCCAGTGTTACCCCAATAAAAAATATATATAGGATTATTGATTTAAAAAGAAGCTTTTTTACATTTTCTTGTTTGAACTTTAATTTATTCTGCCTCTTGTGTTTTCAATGGCCTGCTAACCTGAAAAAAAAAAATTGCCTGCCTTTCAAGATCTGGGTTAATTTTTTCACTGGCTGTGAAATTCTTCTTGGTTGTTATTTTAATTAAAATATAACATAAGTAGGTAAAGGTGCTCCAAAAATTAATGTGTTGCTTAAACTATTTATGCAGAAGGAAGAGAGGAGGGAAGGAAGCAGGGAAAGGAGGACGTTTAGTTTATAGTTCGAATTTAAAGTAAAAAATAAATAAAAATTGAAATTTTTTTATGGAAAATACGTATATTATCCAAGTCTCTTGACAGTGGAGTACGGGAGCAACACCAGGTGACTCTATATTCTTACAAGCCTTTAATCAATGAAGTTGGCCCAAAGGACCAGCTCTTTCTTTGGACCACCTTCTCCTTCCAAGGGGTTTGCTTATTTGTGTCACCTGTTTGGCTCCCCATGGCACTAGAGTCAGCATCCTGATTTACAGTGACTGACTAGCTTCAGGGGTAACGAATATACAAACTATCCTGAAAGCTAAGCAAGTGGCCTCTTAAGAAAGTCTGTGAATACCAAGTAGGCTAGAAGCTTTGTCTCTTCCTTCTTACCTCGTAATGTCTCCTCTCAGAGTGGCTGCTGTTTGGTGGCTGGTAGGCAATCTGCATGTCACTTAGATCTTGCCAGGTGAATGAGGAGACTGGTCTGGTGTGATCCAACAAGTGAGTCACGTAACCCTGGAGCGGGGGTTTGGTGATGTTGAACACCAACAGGGGCTTGGGGGTCTCATCCACTTCACAGTCCAGAACTGAGGTCGTCAACGAGGTCAGGATAAACTGATCCACTTCCAGAATAAACATGGCCATGAACGCAGCTCTTGGAATCTGATTAGTAATGCCAGCTCTGATGTAGACAGGCAACCACGCGCTTTCTGACTTTTGAAGGCAAAATAAAATATGAAAGGGGAAATAGTATATGAATGAAGCTATCACATACAGGGTTAACAGCATGATGATTAACATAAAGCCACAGCCTAGATAGTGTACCTGCGGTGAATATTAAAAGCATCTTGGGAGTTTTTAATTCATATTAAAGCCAAGCTCTACCTCCAGAGGTTCTAATTTAATTGTTTCAAGGAGGGGACCACAAAACTGGTATTTTTAAAGCTCTCTAGTGGCTCATATGCAGCCAGAGCTCAGAAGAGACACCAATTTTGGCATCAAAAGTAATGTGCTTAGGATTCTACCTCCAACATTTATGATTAGTGTAGCCTTCTACACCAACCATAACTTCTACACCAAGTTATTTAACTCCAAGTCTCCCTTTCCCCATATATAAATCAGAAAACCTAGACAGCAAATAATGAGATAGTGAAAGTCACACACTTAGCAGTGTCACTTTGCCAATCTCCTCTGGTCACCCTACTTCTGACTGTCTTTTAAAGAGGCAAGGGGAAAGATGAAGAAAAATGTATTTATCACTGAATACTCATACAGCAGAAAGATGGCTGCACAGCTGTCTAGTAAGTTAAGACCATGGTTCTCTCCTCAAATGAGAGAGCTGTGAGGATGATATTCTCATGATAAGGGTCTCCAGAGATAGCATGAACTTGCGCCATGAGATCTGAAATCTCAATGAGTGCTGCAGGCAAAAAGAATCCTCATAGTTACAGATGCAGGTCATCATATTATTGAATGTATTTAATTATCAAGAGGACCATGCTCAATTATCAGAGTCACATTGGTTCAATACTGCTGAACATTGGACTAGGAGTTATATCTGTATATAACAGAATGTTTAAAAAATGGAATTGTTCTTGGTCCATTCTCAAATGGACCAAGAAAAGAGACAGCAGATTTCAAAGTGAATGAGAATCATAAATTATGAAGCAAATGTCTAGAAACAGTTCCAGACTCTAGAATCCTCTAGCCCACTCTAGGAATATAAGAGAGTTGAGAGAGGTAAAGAAAAAGAGACTTGTTGGAAAGAAGTCCTGTATTGTGCTGAGTTACAACCCTAATCCTCCATCCCCAATACCACACACCTCCATGAAGCAGAAAAGCTGGGGCAATGTTACACCCCATGTCTGAGTGTCAGGGGAGAAGTTTCCAAGTTGAGACCAGCCTTAAAATGCTTTTCATAGGTGATTCACATGGAGGACTGATGCTGTTCTTATACCCAAGAAGACTAAGCAACCAGACAGAAGCCCAAGGTGGCTATGTGGGTATCAGCCTATAACCCTTGTTTGTGGCAGCAAAAAAACATAGATGTTTGCCTCTAGATATGGGCCAAGAGGGACAGAGGGTTCATTGGGGGTCATCCTGCACCCTAATCTTTAGGGTGCATCCTTGAGAGGCCAAAGAATCCCAGCAGCAAGAAGCTGGAGGTGGAAATCATATCCTGCAAACTACAGGAGGAATCACAAGTAACCACTCAAGCTAGAAACTCATCCTCCCAAGAAGAGAGCTCTGCGGGTGAGAGCCCTCTATGATTTAAGTTCTCCTGAGGAACCAGGAAATTGCCCCAGAGACAAAGATGGGGCTTGAAACATCTGCCAGACTCAGAGAGCATGAAGTCTTATTCCATCAGTGCCTGATCAAATCAGACGTACCCCCTTAATGATCCCCCAAACTACCAAGCCTCTAGTCTGGAAGTTCAGAAACTAGCCAATAAATCTCAGAAGAGACAAGTACAGAGATGAACACTTCCCTTCCCACTGCTGGTTATGAAGACAAATGAAGGATATGTTGAGACATGCCAGGGTTTAGAGGACCCATTCTTCACATGCCAATGAGAAAAGTTATTTGACGATGCATCATTTGAAAATTCAAGAATTGGGATATCATGATATAAGAGCACTGGAGCTGGACAATAAAACCAGTTAAGCCTAGAGTGAAGCCCAAATAGGCATGTTATTTTAAAGATGTTTTAAAAAATGGATACAAGTGTCAGAAGAAATTATGTGAAGCAAAAGATGATAAATGAAACAATTAGGTATTAAAATCATGTGCTAGAACTAAAACTGCATAAGGGGTGGGCAATTGCCAAGAGAAAGGATAAATGGGCTCAACCCTCATTTAAGAAGAGTCAAAAGACCTCATGTCATTTTGTGTCTTTAAATATTGAGAATAGATGTTAAAGAATTTTTTAAATCCTAATCAAATCCTAATCAAACATAAAGTGAACAAAAAAGTCTCAAATAAGTAAAGGCAAAGAAAACATAAGCCATAATGCAAGTCATTTATTTAAATTAGCAAGCAGCAGAAAGCAAAATGATAGATAAAAATCCACGTATCCATTATTACAAAAATATAACTTGTATTCCCTGTTCAAGACAAATTTCTGAAATTAATATCCAATTATGTATGCCTGACAGTAGAGGTACTCAAAATAAAAATACACACAGATTAAAAGTAAAAGGATGATCCAAGGTTATCATGTAAGGAAGGATGCATTAACAGCCATATTCATTTCAAAGAAAGATGAATTCAAGGCAAGAAGCATTAGAAAGGACCAATGAGAAAAATTATTCTCATTGGCATGGATGCAGTTGATATTGATGAACGATACAAGACAAGGATTGTTGTAAGCATCATTATATTTAATATTATTCTGGTCAAACCAGTGGAGAATAGAATAGAAATAAGAGGAATGATTACTGAAAAAGAGAGGACAAAATTATTATCATCAGTGCAAGATGTAATTATGGTCTTTAAGAGGAAAAGAAATGAAAAATTCTTAGAATAATTGAATTCAAGAAAGAAGCCACATAAAAGAAAATTATACCAAAAAATAGCTTTCTTATTATCAGCTGTAGCAATGAGAAGATATAATGGAGGGGAAAGAGTTTATTCACAATAATTTTACAGAAACAAACTGTCTAGGACTGGACTTAATAATTGCTCCAGCCACATGAAGAAAACAGCAAACTTTCCAGAAACATATCAAAGATCATTTGCCTAGATGACATGAGATGCCTCATTTCTGGATAAGACTCCATATGGTGAATGTTCTAATACTTCAATTATTCCCAAAATAATTTATAGCTTTAATCCAATCATGATATAAATGACTTGATTATTTATCTGGAACTAAATATAGGTGAGAATAGAGAAGGAAGTTTTGAAAAGGAGTGAGGAAGAAAAACTGGCTTGTAAAGTGTAATACTAAAGTGTAATACACAGATCTATTATATTTAAAGTAACATGGTACTGGCGTAAGAACAAGGAGACAAATCTAAGGAACAAAAGAGCTAGCCTTGAAATAATATACATAATAGCTTCCTATATAATAGAAGAATCATCAAAAATCAATGGGAAATAGATTATTCAGCAAATGATGTTGAAAATGTGACTTCTTGGGGTAAAAAAAACTGTTCTGTATATTTCACAATATAATAAAATTTATTTCAAGTGAATTCGCAAGGCAAATATTAATGAGAAAACCTTAAAATGTAGCAGAAATTATGGGTTTCTAGTCAAGTCACTTGATAAGGATGGGTTGTAAAAGCATAAAAATAAAATAAAGAGGCTAAAATGCTAATATAGCACAAATTCAATAGCAATAAGACAAAACCAACTCTAATGTGCATATCTTCCCACAATGTGCATATGTGTAGGTATTTTAAAATGGTAGTCATATTGCATATAGCATATAGCTTTGGGGCTTTATATATCTGTGTTTTTAAAAAATATTTTTTACAGTGAGCACATGATTTTCTAATCATAAAATAATGTCATGCCAAATGACTGTGGAATAGGTTAATTCTAAGTAAAACAAGATCACTGAAAGGATGAACATTCAACAAAATTAAGATTTAAAATATAAACAAATAAAGCCCTAATGCAATGCAAAGAGAGGAAAAAGAAGAGAAATCAGTCAGGAAGAAAAATGGCTGCAATTTCACTTATTGAGCTAAGAAATCATTAGGAAACCTCGAGTTTCAGTCTGGGCTCAGCCATGAACAGCTTTATTCCCATGGGCAGGCTATGTGATTTCCTTGTCACCACTATAAAATAAGTTACTGGGACTAAACCAACCACTTCCAAATTTGTTGATGATCAATCTTTTTTTGGGTAGCTCTTTAACTTGCAAAATATGCATAATTCTTACTATATGTGAGGTTTTATGGCAAGTGCCTTATAAATGTTATCTCATTCAATCTAAATTGTACTAAGAAGCAGGTGCTATCACACCCCATTTTAAGATTTTCAAAAATGAGATATAAAGTTCAAAGTCACACAACTAACATTTGAAATCTTCCAACCTGGGCCCAGTGTTCATACTCTTAATTATTCATATTAAATTCAAATTCATCCTTTGGAGGATCCCTAAGTAATTTATCCGGTCAATTTGACCAGCCTCAATTTTTTTTTCCAAATCCAATTCTAAGAGTCTATAATTTGATGGCTTATTCTTTATCATTGCTTTGCCAATTCTTTGGGATAATAATATTCAATATTTGCATCTCTTAAGAAAAACCCAATGAAAAGTCAGGTTGTGAAAGATGGAGGTCATGCACAAATGTAACCTTGGATCACCGTAGAGCAGTACAAAATGTGAGCTATTTCAGCAGGTACAGTCACCCTGGCTTCCCAAATAAGCCAGATACAGAGTACATGAATAAGCAGAGCAGTATGTTAAATATTTCATGTAAATTGATTCCATTTTCTGCCATTATCTCAAAATGAAGAAATCAAGAGGAGGAAGCGACAGGAGAACTTGCAAGATCAGAAATTGAAGGAGTGCTCTGGGGACCTGCCTCTTGGTGGCCCAGCCCTTCATCTCAAAGTCTAGAAGGGTGAAAATGATACAATCTACTATATCCATAAAAGTGAGATTGGTTCCTCTTCCTCCCAATTTCCATCAGCCTCTCTTGCAGAGTGAACATATGGACTCTGATATTCTCTAACAGGTGAAAAGAGCTTCAAATAAAGTAGGGGGAAATGAAGCATGAAGGAAAGATGAAAATCAAATGACATGACAAAGAAAACAGGAAAAAGGATTTTTCCAAAGTTGACTGAGTCATGGTACACCTAGACAAGAGCTAGTGGAAGGAAATTATTTATTGATCTACACAAAAGTTACTGTTTTAGGCATTTACTGATAAAATAACCAAGTCCACAGTTCCAGTGAGTTACTGGGCAGTTCTACCCATGACTGCACTGAAGCTCCCCCTGGCATGACAGACAGCCTGGGTACCCCCAGAGTACTGGCTGTCTTGCTGGGATCATCTGGAGACACACACATAACCCAAGCTCTACCTTGTATATGATTTTACTTCTGCTATCTGTGAGATCCAGTCGGATGGAGATATAGTCAACATTGGGAGAAGGAGGACTCATATGTTGATAGCGAAGCCCCATCAGCAGGAACTCCTCACAGCTCACTTTGAGACTTCCTATTTTCCTCAGTCCCAGGGCACAGCTTCCACCTGGACACTTCAATTCTGTCCCCAATTCTGGAATGTACAGTGCTGAATTAAGATAGTAGCCATTTGAACAAAACAAGTTCATATAAAATTAACAACCAATCTTTTCTCCCATAGAGAATACTCTCACTCATGAATATCTATTTGTAGCCTCTAGTCATTCATTGGGTGAATCATGATTATTATGAAAGCTTATCATTTCCTTTACTGAAAATAAAACCTGACCATTTGTCTCATCAGGTCCTTACCCACAAAAAGAAACACTGAGAGGAAAATAAAATGTGTTTTCTGCAGTATGAATTTTTCTCAAAAGACTAAACATGGATCTGCCATGCAACACAGCAATTCTACCTGTAGGTATCCGCCCAAAGAATACAAAAGCAATAATTTGAAGGGAAACAAACACACACTCTATGTTCATTGCAGCACTATTTACCACAGCCAAACTATGGAAACAACCTAAATGCCCAGATACAGATGAGTGGATCAGGAAGATACAGTTCATATATACACAATGGAATGCCACTCAACTATCAAAAATTACAAACTCTTGTCATTTTCAGTAACATGGATGGAGCTGGAGAGGATTTTGCTAAGTGAAATAAGTTAGAAGGAAAAAGACATAGACCAGATGGTGTCACTTATATGTGGAATACAGAGAGACCAGACAAAGGGTCAGATAGGGCCTCCCCAGTGACACAGTGGTTGAGCGCTTGGCTGCGAAGCTGCCCACAGCCTCTGCAGCACCGGTTTGATCCCCAGCCGCCAGCGAGGGTCCCAGGTGTGCAGACCTCTCCTGCCGCCTGCTGCTCCCCTCAGCAGCGTATTTCGTCAGTCTGCCTGTTCTGTTCCCCACTCTGGCTCTGTTGAATTCTCTCACTCTCCTGCGCTTCTGACTGTACCCAGTGCTTGTATAAATAAATAAACAAATCTTTTAAAAAAAAACAAAAACAAAAACAAAGGGCCAGATAAAGCCAAACTAAGTGAACCCTAGAAAGCTGACTGTAGAGCTGAGGCTGCAAGCAGGGAAGGGTGAGAACTAGGTAAAGAGGGGGCATAATGAACAACGGTTGTGGATTACAGGTATCTTAGCAGCGGACGTGTATGGGTAACAATACCTGAGAGGAAGAGCCTATGCTTCTAATATACAAACTGATGTAAACTAAAATTACTGCAAAAAAAAAAAATGAAACAAAATGTGTTATCTTGCTCCTAAATATCTGTTTACATCCAAGCCAATGCCTCCCTGGAAGCGTTGTACAGTCCAGCTCCTGTCTTCCTTTACAGCTTCCACTTCTATGGCTCAATAGTGCAATCTCTGCTAGACTATAGTCACTGAAAATCTCTTTCCATTTTGCTGATCACACCCTAAAATTCTAAATGTCTTTCCTGATCCACTTTACCTTTTTACTGAAACTTCCCATAAACATTCTTTAGCTGCCAGCACCAATCTGCTCTCTCCCATGGAAAACCATACATATCTCTCCAATAGTTATCTTGTCTCTAACCAACTGTATTTTTTACTCCTGTGGGATCTATGATACATACAGGCCACTTAATTTTCAAGTGGCATTTATATATTTCCCTGATATACAAATGGGTATTCTACTTCATGATCAGATGGCTATGAAGACTGAATGACATGATTTACATATAAACATGTCTTTAGTTATAAACTACTGTCCAGATTTCAAGTTATTAGTATGAATATGATAATCACTATATTTCTTGGTCTTCTCATCATGCCCAGAATGCTTTTATACATATAAGAGGTACCCAAAACATACTGATAGAATGATTAATAGAAAGAACATTACCGATCAACTCTTCCTGATGTAAACCATGGCTGCTGCCCATCAACTCTACCTCAAACCTGCTCACAATCTAAAATCATGTAATAAACACACCAACTATTCTTACAACTGCTGCCATAGCTACTATTACTAATAACAGCTGACACTTGCTATGAAGAACACTGTGTTGAGCACTTGTGTGGGTATTCTCACTCACTCCATATTCACACCACTCTGTGGAGATGGAACAACTATCTCTTCACCCATTTTACAGAGGCTTAAGTAACTTGTCTAAAATCACACAGGAAATAACAAGCAGAGGCAGTTTTCAAACCCAGGTCTTTATGCTTCCGAGTCCATACTCTTAACCATTAAGCTGCATTTTTCAATCAACTACAAGTTACACTATGTAAAACTCTCTGCCATAGTGCAAGATGACCATTTTTGTCAGTTTTAGTAAATTCCAGGTAAGTATTAAAATATGTCATACGAGGCTCAGGAAAAAAACTATGTGGCTGATCTCCACGAGGTTCTTCTGGCCGAGGCTCCACCAGAACCATCTGGCCATGAGCTGGCAGCCGAGTTCCCACAGGGTCCAGCCTGACTGTGCATTCCAGGCTGGCTGTCCTATCATAATCAAATCTGAGCAGGTTCTTATCAATGGTGCGGGACAGGCCATAGAATTCAGACACCTCCAGTACATTGTTACTCATACGAATGATGTTACAGTCTGGTTCCAGGAGGTAGACCCGCAGGATAAAGTTTTCTATGAAGGTGTCTGTCTCAGTAAATCTGTGGGAGAGAACAGAGCAAAGGTGATATTTATTGGTACTCAGGTACTTCTGATATATATGCACATGCTGGCTTGCAGTGTGAAGCTTGACCTTCACAAAATTTGTACATTGAGCAGAGTGTGGATTTTACTTTATACACTAAACCCAAGCTCTCTGTTCTTTTCCTTTCTAATTGTCATCCCCTTTTTCTACCTCTCCATTGACCTTTCTTTCAATTTCTTTCGGAAATCCATCCTCCGTACCTAAGTTTAATGACTGTAAGCTACATGTCTCACATCTAGCACATCTGCAATTTCAATATTAAATTTGTATAATTTATGGATCAAGTTTTAATTCAGGAGTAAAAGGATAAACAGCATGGCCTTTTGCTCTTTATAAACACCACTATCTGAGCAGTCATTGAGTACCCAGGTTAGTGCTTGGCATGTAAAAATTATTCAGTGATGTTACTTCCATTCCCTGAGCAACTACATCCTCAGCATATACGTACAGACTAAACGGAGAATCATCAGTCATTTGCAAAAGGAAAATTAGTGAGTGATGGATATGCAGTTCCTTTTATTATGGCTCAGATATATGCTAAACTCTCCACTCCAGTTAATCCCATTTTACAGATGAAGAAACTGAAGCATAGAGAGGTCAAGGAGCTTGACAAAGGGGCTGAAGAGAAGGTAAGGGGGGGAATAAATATGTTCTCTGATTTCTGACTCCAACTTCTCAGAATCTTTTATTTATTTTTTAAAAAGATTTATTTATGCATACAAGAACTGGGGTACAGGCAGAGGTGTCGGGGGTGAGAGGATTTACAAGAGTCAGAGTGGGGAACAGAATAGGCAGATTGACTGAAATACAGTGCTGAGGGGAGCAGCAGGCAAGTCAGGAGAGGTCTGCTGCGCCATGTGGGTAGCTCCCTGTCTGGGTGGGCATTGAACTCGTGCTGCAGTGGCTGTGGATAGATTCATAGGTTGTTTCTTAACCCCTTGCGGAGCCAGGGAGGCCCAGAATTTTTTATTTTAAATGTTCTCAAGACCAAGAAAATCAATAGCTCCTCTAACTCTGTCCTTGAATGTGCTTCTCCACCCTCTTCATGCCTTAGAAACTCAAGGAAGAAATGGAAGCAACCAGAATTCATCACAGCCCTTCCAGAAAACTCTCTGAAGTTAGTTTTTTAATTTTAAAATCTTAAAAATATCATATGCCTCTGCAGACTGGTTGTATAGCTTCCCAAGGAATCCTCAGGTACCATTTCATGTTCCAAGCACACTACCTATCTTGTCATGCTTCTTTTTGGCTACTGTCTTTCTGCACCACACCAATTACCCATCAATTGCATCAGACTATAGATATCAAGAGTCCACGCATTCTCATCTTGTATTTCCTATCCCCACATAGGGTCTTGAACTATAGAGTAGGTGATCACAAGAATGATTATGATTCATTGTTCCAATGTCTTTTACAAATCTCTTTTGTATTCGTCTAGTACTTATGAGAAATTTACAGAGGTATTTTAGCCAAATATTCCTAAGAACAGTAAAATCAAATAAGAAAAAAAAATCTATCTAGGGCCTCCCTAAGAGTGCAAGGGGTTAAGTCACAGCACTCTGAAGCTTCAGCAGCCACTGCAGCATGAGTTCAATTCCTGGCCAGGGAGCTGACCCACATGGCGCAGCAGACCTCTTCTGTCTCACCCGCCTCTCCCCTGAGCAACGTACTTTGATCAGTCTATCTATTCTCCCCAATCTGTCTCTGGTGAATTCTCTCACTCCCGACCCACCTCTGACCTATACCCCAGCTCTTGTATACATAAATAAATAAATCTTTAAAAAAAACCTATCTAAAGTTTTACTCTACCTACACTGAATTCCCATTTGCTTTCATAAAGTGAGCAATACCACAATCATGTGCTTAGTTTTCAAATTAACTTTTTATTGAGATATAATTAATCATAAAACTTAACTTCTTAAAGTACATAATGAATAGCCTTTAGTATATCCGTAAGGTTATGAAACCACAATATCTATTATTTTCATACTTCAAAAAAGAATGCACACCCATCAGCAGTCACTCCCTTTTCATCCTACCCCTAACCCCAGCAGCTTTTTGTCTTAATGGACTTGCCTTTTCTGGATATCACATGTAAATGAAATCATACGATGTGACCTTTTGTGTCTGGCTTCTTTTACTTAGCACAATGGTGTGAAGATTTATTCATATTTTAGCACATATCAGTACTTCATTGAGTTTTATGGCTGAATACTATTCCATGGTATGTATATGCCACTGTTGAACTGCATTCGTCAGCTCAACTATGTGGCTAGTCAGTAATGCTGCAATGAGCATTTGCGTACAAGTATTTGTGAACTTGGATTTTACTTCTCTTACACATAAATCTAGGAGTAGAACTGCTTCATCATATGATCATTCTGTGTTTAGCTTTATGGTCAAGTTGAGGATATTTTTATTATTTAATATTTTAAAATATGACACTATACTTCCTGTTATGATGAAGCTAAAAATCAAAAAGAACTTCATTCAATATTGGAATGTATTTTTCTCCTAATTCTCCTTAGGAATTTCTAGCGTGTAATTTTTATTTCCCATCATAAGTGGAGGTGTAAATCCCAGCGATATAAGAACGCTAAAGAAAACAGCATAGCTAATAATTTGCTACAGAAAAGCTCCAAGGAAGAGGCTATAAACAGATAACTGACAATCGACTGCAATTCTTGCCTCACCCTTCACACCTCCAATTTTTACTGATTGCTTTCTTGTTTGGAATCTAGGAACTCCCTTCATGGAAATATCTATTCAGGGAAAAGGTCCAAAGAAGTCCACAGGATGGTTGTCTGGCAAAGAATAGATAATGGTCCTGTTCTGCTTACCTGTAAAGTCTAAGTTTCACAGTGTCTTCATCGAGAATTGGGCAACCATTGTGAACATACTTTACTTCATTGGGAAGGAAATGGCAGTCAAATACCTAGTTTACATGAAAAAATGGATAAATATCTGTGAGAAAATGAGTGCATAATTTAATTTTTCCAGCAATAGAGCACTGCCTGCAGAAATTATGATCTATTAGTATTTGTATGCCTCTTCGTCTGTGTGTGTGTGTTTTAACTGCCAACACCTCTCTCCACTCCGATGGTCATACACCATCTGATTGCATAGTTGTGCCTTGCTTTGAGAATATCTAAATTAAGAAAATCCAAACAAATAAAGGACTATCTCTCTAAATGAATGTATTTTACAGTCTATAATGCATTTAAAATATGGTCCCAGGGCCTCCCCTGGTGGCACAGCAGTTGAGCACTGGGCTGCGAAACTGCCCACAGCCTCTGCAGTGCTGGTTCGATCCCCAGCCACCAGTGAGGGTCCCACATGGTGCAACAGACCTCTTCTGCCACGCTCGCTGCTTCCCTCAGCAGTATATTTTGTCAGTCTGCCTGTTCTGTTCCCCGCTCTGGCTCTGGTGAATTCTCTCATCCTCCCGCGCTTCTGACTGTACCCAGTGCTTGTATAAATAAATAAATGAACCTTAAAAATAAAATAAAATATGGTCCCATTTACCAAAATATTATTTACACACACTCTCAAGGGTTCATAGCAACTATTAGACAGATCTACCTGTGTGTATGCATGAAAAGTTGTGTATTATCCTCCAAACACACTGTATTAGTTCTGTTCATGTTTTTCTTCTCCTTTCATGTCTTTCTTTTCCAAATACTATTTTTGTGTTCAAAAGTAAAGCCACTGATTATGGACACCATCAGAGTCAAATATGAGCAACAGTTCCTTTTCATATTGCCAAAGATTGCTTTTACTAATTACATAATAGCAAAGATGACTGATGAGACAAATAGAAATCTAAAGACAATTTCCTCTCTTCAAATAAAATTATAATTAATTGTTTCATCTCACTCAGAACTGTGAAGAAGAATGCTGTTATATTTTGAGAATCTTAGTTTTTAGAAGAAGAACTTTCTCTTTCACCCACACCATGACCTCCATTCTGTCCAATCTGACTTGATAGATTTCTGAGAAACATCCTTGAGGTAGTCACACGTGGTCACTATTGAGTTCATAGTATTTAGCCATACCTTTTTACAAAATCTCCAAATATTTTCAGACAACATGATCCTCTCTGTGATGACTTTATCACGAATACAAATGCTCTTTTCCCATAGACATTGCTGGTTCCCTTTTGTAATTGACAACAAGGAAGAAAATAAAGGAAAGACCCTCCCCATATCATTGACAAATAGTCACGGTAATAAAGAGACAATCTGCTTTGTTAAAAGAAACATCTGTTTTATGTTTCCTAATATGTTTTCCTTTTATAAAAGGCGACAACCATAATTGTCCATAAATTCACTAACTAAAACAAAGGAGAGCTAAATCCTTTTCTAATTACTGTCTAGCTTTGTTTTTTTCCACTTCAACTGCTTTTCAATTACAATTTATAATTAAATTGTCACACATTCCTAACTCATTACTCACTTTAATGACAGTAAACTGGTTAAAACTGGAGATATTTTCTTCCCACTGTATATCCTATTGAAAAGGGCAAGCTCAGAGCTAAACTGGAGAACTTTTCCACCTGTAAATTTCTTGCTCTGAGACAGGTGTGGGAAGCACTGTGTGGACATCTCTTGTCCTAAAACATGAGAAAACATATTGCCCTCAACCTTATCTAATTGACTACATCAAGAGGGTTATCTAAACAGAAGGTACTGGTGTGCACCGACTGAAATCCCTCTCCAAATATCCAATAGGAAAATGAACCTGTTGGTCCTAAGACAAACTTCAGTAATGAAATGAAAACACTAATTGAACAGATGTTAAACAAAACATTTTCTGTGCAAATCACATGAAACTGTTCATTACACAGCAGGGTGTTGTTAATACAGTTGTCTTGCTAGAAATGGGTTCACATAAGCCTTGCTTTCAACTTACTATTAAGCTCTATTAAAGAATAATGTTTAAGCTGTGTGTGTGTGTGCGCGCGTGTGTGTGTGAGTGTGCACCCATGCATGATATGTTTAATTTCAAAAACTCCATAAAAAATAAGTTTCTAGGAAAGGTTAAATAAGCCTGAATTAAAAATTCCAAAAAGGTAGACTTTACTTGGGAATCTTGTCTTTGCTTAAATTATTATAATAAAAAGTAGGAAGATCACCTGGCAGTTTGATAAGCAAAGTTTTCCAGATTTATACATTTCTTTGTGAAACAAAATTCCAATATTTGACCATAAAGTGATAAAACTCCACAATTTAATGGACTTCTTTTCCATAGGCTAAATTTTAGAAGACATAAATCCAATATCTACTTTAGAGAACATATATTTATTTGTGGTATCAGATTTACCTCTGGAAATACCCTAGCAGTCCAGACAAAATCAACCAGGCAAGTCATTTCTTTTCCACATTGTCTTTCTAGCAATTCAATTTTTCCTTAAAATCCACAGAAGTTGGAGATGTAGAAGATTTGGAGATCTATTATAACCCATGATCCTTGCGATCAAAAGATTTTTACCCAGGCTTAGTCAGTCAGATAGATCCCTTTCTCTTTGTAAATGTCTTAATGCTGATCAAATGATGAGGACATTCAAACATCATTAAAAATGTATAATGGAGATAATTTCATTGATCCCAGAGAAAGCACTATATATATTTAGCACTCACAAGTTATTTGGAATGGGAAAAGGATACCCCTCAGATTGTCTTAAGTACCAGGACATCCTTCCCAAATTGTTTTCTAAGGGAGAATCTGGTGAAGAACTGGGCTTTGTTTTGCTTAGTAGAGAATGCATGCTTGGGGCCAGAGCTAAACACAGCTGCACAGGTTGCTCCAGGGTGCTCCCAGGAGGAAATTTCATTCCTCTTTCCCCATGAAATAGTCTCACTTTTAAATAAATGTTGAACATTTTTTAAAATACATGTTGATTTGAAAGGGAACTAAATGAGAAAAATACATCCAGTCCTTACAAAGTACAGCATATGCGCCCCCATCCCCAACCTAAACTGGGACCCAAGTCCTCTAAGATCAGGATCCTCTCTTGCTCTTCCTAAAACTCCCAGGATTTGCTTTTGACTCCTTTCCCTGTGGGTGGCTCTTCATGGCCTGCTTTGGGAATTATCCATGTCACCTATTCATTCCACTTAATATATCTGGGCTCCAGGTACATGTGTGCTAATCCTGACTGATAGATGCCAAATATACCTCCACATTGTAAGTTATGTTGGAAAAAAGTCTAGAGTTATGGGTTTCAATTACCAAACACTTGGAATATAACATCTCAAGAACTGGGGCTATTATTCTCTAATATCTTTCAGAAACCCTGCTGATTCTGGACTGACAACAGAAAATGTCATAGGAAACTAGAAGGTGACATCTGGTGACTTTTACCACAGGAATATTCCCAAAGTGGGAGCACCTTCTATAGAATTCTGATGTGTTTCAGAATTAGACTCTCAAAGTGTCATGAATAGGTTATCTAGAAAGGTCAGTTTTAGCTAGCATCTATCTCAATCTCTTAGTTCATCTCTACAACATCAAGGCCACTTTTGAATAACCTCATGGACTATGTGGAATTTTTTTTAGCCAAATGGAGAAAGAAATTAATGTTCATAGTTCAGCAATGGGGATGGTGTATTTTTCCAGAAGCAGCATCCAGCATTGAATATTCTCAGAATTGTTTGCATTGGGGAGAACTTTAAGCCACAGCAGAAACAAGTAATAAAACCAAAAGCAATTTCTATTATGTGAGGAGATAAACTCCTACTTTAGTCAAATATATTAAGTGATAATACAGATTTTTTTAAACCCAATAAATTAGAAGACAATTCTTCACCTTACAAAAGGAGTGAGCATAGCATACCCCATAAATGACAAGGTCTCTGAATTTTGATTAAAGAAAAAAATGTTATCAATATTTTGGAAGAAGATTATTTAAAGTAAACTATCTCGATACCTATTTTCCACACTTCTCAGTCTCCAATCTCTCTCACCCTCTCCCTCTTAATAGATCTAAAATGAAAAGTGTGTAATTTTTTTATATTATGCCCTTTCCTGAATGATTAGCTGCTCTATAAAGTCAAGCAGAGGGTATGATTTATAAGAGTTCTCATCCATAAAAGAGGATAAATTGGAAAGACATTGATTTGACACCTTATAAATAAAAAATAATCCATATTCGTTAGAATCTGCCTTCCTCCACAGGTGTTAGTGCAAACAGGAGTAAATTCCACTGGTTTCAAGTTGTAATTCACATTCAAAAACAATTTTTATCAATATTAGATCATTACATTGTATACTTGAAACTAGTGTCAATTATACCTCAATTTTAAAAATGGTTTTAAACAGGTGCTACCTTGCATAGTAAAACAGCACAATTTAAGCCTGCTAAGTGTTACTCCAATATAACTATGAACATCTTGCATTACTCACCTTTGGCAGTTTCAAGGGAGGCCTCTGACATCTCTCTCTCTGTCCCTTTACACTCTTTCACAGTCACATTTCTACACATGGTTAAATAGTCAGTTTTAGCTAGAACATACCTGTGGTGTAAGTGTGCCAACCCTCTGCGTTATTGGCTCATTCATCACCACTTCCACCTTGCAAGCATCTTTCTCTTTGGGAATGGCAAACTTCAGGTCATCTCCGGACAGGAAAGCAGAACTGCCCTTCATCACATTGATCCCACGGTTAATGCTGATGAAGGTGGGGCTGGCCCAGCCCAAGAGAAGCAGCATCAGCGGGACAGATGGTCCACCCCAATGCAGAGAGGGCATGCTGGCAAGGGCCGGCCACTCGTATCAGTCCAGCGATGAAATCCGTACAATGAAGGAGGATTTCTGTGCTTCCTCTGGGGATGCCACCTCACAGTCTAAAGGGCAGGACAAGGGGTCCCAACAATATGCCCCAAGATCTTAACATGCCCCTTTCAGTTCAAACTCAGACAAGGAGGCCTTTCAGGCAATCTGAGGACTTTAATAAAACTCGCTGATCACTTCTGACAACGCCGGCGAGATTAACAAGAAGCCCGTGGCTGTCTAATCCTGCAAACAGGAGAAGGGTTGAAGGGGGAGGGAGAGAGACCAATAGGTTTGTGTGGCTATTCCAAAGATCCCGTCCCACAAAGGAATCTTTCAACCAGCCTATAATTTCAGCTCAATTAAAAACAAATAAAGTAAGTTGACCTCTAGGCCCACCAGAAAGGCAATGCAGCATTTCATTGTCCTGCTTGTAACTCCTGCTTCCGGATGGGCAGTCTCCAGTGCCAAGGTCAGTCGTGTGGTCTGACAGGACCCAGCCAACCTCCCTGCTCAAGTGCAGTGCTTGGGGCTCAGAGTTCAGAGAGCTGCTTCTGTTTCCTCATTTCTTAAATGGGGACTGTAACCTAGCATGTGTCAGGGAGCTGACAAAATTATTTGCATACTATTCAACACCAGGATTATTTCTCAGTCGATGCCACCAAAGTAAGAAATAGACTTAATTAATATTTTTGTCACTTGGGCACACATATGGCTTTGCTGGACAATCAAGACACCAGAGAACTATTTAAGTATAAATGGAGAAACTATTTTTTCTAAGAAAACAGTCAAGTCTTTATTCATGTGTTAAAAGGACAAGGAATTGACTAACATACCTTCGATGTATACAGCTAATGGCCAGGTGTATGCACCATTATTTACAATAATAATTACTTTATACTTATTAAATTTGCACAAGTAGAGTTTTGTCTACTTAGAATTTCGTAATGATTTCTCTGTGTCCTATAAAGATGGAAATAATTGTATCCAAAGTAAAATGTATTGAAATATATCCTTAAATTCAAGGTATGATTAGGTGAGCTAATGGTGGTTTATTATGCCAGTAGAAAGACCTTACATTTTAATGATAATAATGTTTTCTGTAACTAAACAATGGATACTGAAACAATGTTTTTAGCAGGGTGTGGCAAACTTGGCCCTGTCATCCACATCTAATACATTAGAAGACTCGTTCTTTTGAGTATTTCAATGGGGGAGGGAGTACATGAGATGAGTCACGAGAGGTTATATGCTTTACAGAGCAGCCTGGTTTTTATGGTGTTAGTCCCAAAATAAAGCTGTTCACACACTCCCACTGACCATGTTGCGCACGCTCAGACTGAATTAGGTTTGGTTGTTTGGGCAAGAATCCAAACTGGATTGCTGAACTTTCGCAACAAAATAAAATCTTGTTTTGGTTCACATTTGGCATCTAAAACCATTAAAAAAAAAAAAAAGCAGCACATATATGGCCTTTATGATGCTGCTTTTTGTGAAGCACAGTGAAGCATATACCCTCTCGTGACTCATCTCATGTACTCCCTCCCTATTGAAATGACTCAAAAGAAGGAGTCTTCTAATATATTAGATGTGGATGACAGGGCCATGTTTGCCACACCCTGCTAAAAACATTGTTTCAGTATCCATTGTTTAGTTACAGAAAACATTATTATCATTAAAATGTAAGGTCTTTCTACTGGCAAAATAAACCACCATTAGCTTTTGTGAAGGCAAAAGCATAGTGAGGGCAAAGATGAACAGCTGGGACTACATCAAATTAAAGAGCTTCTGCACAGCAAAAGAGACAACAACCAAAACAAAGAGAAATCCCACCGACTGGGAGAACATTTTTGCACACACTAATGATAAAGGGCTGATCACAAAAATCTACAAAGAGCTGATGAGACTCAACAAAATAAAGAAAACAATCCAGTCCAAAAATGGGCCCAAGAGCTAAAAAGAAACTTCTCCAAAGAGGAAATGCAAATGGCCAACAGGCATATGAAAAAATGTTCAACATCACTTGTAATCAGGGAAATGCAAATCAAAACTACAATGAGAAACCGTCTTACACCAGTGAGAATGGCACATATTAAAAAAAAACTAGCTACAACAAATGTTGGCGAGGTTGCAGAGAAAAAGGAACTCTCCTGCACTGCTGGTGGGAGTACAAACTGGTTCAACCACTATGGAGAGCTGTGAGGAGATTTCTTGACCTACTAAAGATAGAGCTTCCATATGATCCATCAATTCCACTCCTAGGTATTTACCCAAAGGACACAGAAACATTAATTCCAAAGGGCACCTGCATCCCTATGTTTATAGCAGCACTATTTACAATAGCTAAGCTATGGAAACAACCCAAATGCCCAAAAATAGATGACTGGATCAAGAAGATGTGGTACATATACACCATGGAATATTACTCAGCAGTCAAAAAAGATAAACACATGCAGTTTGCAGCAACATGGATGGAGCTGGAAAGGATCATGCTCAGCGAAATAAGTCAGAAAGAAAAAGAAAAATACCAGATGGTCTCACTCATAGCAGGAATTTAGAAAACCTAAATAAGGGACCAGGAAAAAGACTAATTAAAACAAAGTAAAAATCAAAATCAACAAGCAACTATAAACCAGAGATACACTATGGGGGTGGGGCGGGGGAGGGGCAGGAGAGGAAGGATTAGGGTCAAAATAAGGGGGGGGGTGCAATTGTATGGGGAATATAACCAAAATGAAAATGCATACATTGTGCAAAAATGAAAAATGATTCTAAGAATTATATAAAATAAAATATAAAAAATACAAAATTAGAAAATAAATAAAATTCTAAGAAAAAATCTAAAAAAAAAAAGCAGCACATTCAGAGGGAAGAGACACATAAGTAGGTGTTTTCCCAAGCTAAGATATAAGGAAAAAAATTTTCTTTTTGAGATTTAAAAGAATTAAATCAACACATAAAGACTGGAAGAATTCTACCCTTTCGGGCATTCCTCTCATCTCAGTTTGTCTCCACTGATTCTTCCTAGACCTCCATCTGACATTTTTTATGCTGCTGAGCTTAGGGTCCAGTCTTTGGACATGTTTTTGTCTACCCTCACTCCCGACTGATCTCCTTCCTTCGCTTTATTTTATTTATTTTTTTTTTAAATTTTTTTTTTTTTATAGAGGCATGCTTTATTTATTTATTTATTTGTTTGTTTGTTTTGTTTATACATGCACTGGGTACAGTCAGAAGCGCGGGAGGGTGAGAGAATTCACCAGAGCCAGAGCGGGGAGCAGAGCAGGCAGAAGGACCGAAGTACACTGCTGAGGGGAGCAGCGGGCGGCAGGAGAGGTCTGCTCGCCATGTGGGACCCTCCTCCAGTGGCCGGGGAGCAGCCGGGGATCGAACCGGTGCTGCAGAGGCCGCGGGCAGCTTCGCAACCCAGTGCTCAACCGCTGCGCCACCGGGGAGGCCCCTTCCTTCGCTTTAAATACTACTTATAGGGCCTCCCCGGTGGCGCAGCGGTTGAGCGCTGGGTTGCGAAGCTGCCCGCAGCCTCTGCGACGCCGGTTCAATCCCCAGCTGCTCCCCGGCCACTGGAGGAGGGTCCCACATGGCGCGTAGATCTCTCCTGCCGCCCGCTGCTCCCCTCAGCAGTGTACTTCGGTCCTTCTGCCTACTCTGCTCCCCGCTCTGGCTCTGGTGAATTCTCTCACCCTCCTGTGCTTCTGACTGTGCCCAGTGCTTGTAAAAATAAATAAATAAACAAACAAACAAATAAATAAATCTTTAAAAATAAATAAATAAATAAATACTACTTATATACTAATGTGTCCCAAATTTATATCTCTAACTTCCTCCTCCCCACCCTCCAACTCTGCATTTGTGTATTCAGATGTCTAGTTTACATCTCCATATAGGTGTGTGACGGGCACTCATACTTTATGTGCACAAATCAATCTCTTCATCTTTCTCCCTTCCCTAGCTTAGGTAACGACAACTCCAACTCTCTAGTTGCTCTATTCTTAGTGTCATACTTTTCATCTAAACAATCAAGAATGCTCTGTTTGTGGGGGCCTCCCTGGTGGTGCAAAGGGTTAAGACGCAACCTATGAAGGTATTTACAGCCACTGCAGCACGAGTTCCATCCCCGGGCAGGGAGTTACCCTCATGGCACAGCAGACCTCTCCTGACTCACCTGCTGCTCCTGCTCCCCTCAGCAGCATATTTCAGTCACTCCACCTGTTCTTCTCCCCATTCTGTCTCTGGTGAATCCTCTTACCCCCACACCTCTAGCCTGTACCCCAGTTCTTGTATGCATAAATGAATAAATCTATAAAAAAATTTTCTGTTTGTTCATTGTAGTGAAAAGAACTTAGAGTAACCTCCCTTAATTATAGACTCATACCATCCAGAAGTTCCCTCCCCCTAGAATGTATAACACCTCTAGCCAACAGTATAAGGCAAAGCTGATGGGGTTCATTCCTGTGATGACATCATGTTGTAATCAAGAGTCTCTCAGTAGATAGGAGCAGAGGATGTCTCCTGAACTTAGAGGAGTGTCCATGCGTTCTACTGTCACTAGGAAAGGAATTCTGCAACAACTTGAATGAGCTTAGGAGATGATTCTTCCTAAGACAAACCTCCAGATGAAAATGGAGCCCATCATGAGTTTATCATTTTGATCACTGAGCCCTTATGTAATTATATCACATGGATTGAGGTGGAAGAGATTACACGAAGCAATATAAATTAGAATAAGAAAGATAAATACAGGCTGGTTTCACTTATATATGGAGTATAAAGAAACCAAACACAATATCATACAAAGACAAACCTTGGAATATGATCATAGGGCCAAGGCATTGGTGTAGGGATGAGGGAGTAGGGTTAGGCAAGAGAAAGGGAGAGGGAAAGGGATGAAAATAGGAAATGGGGGAGAGCATATTGGACTAAAGCTACCAGACAGAGATGTGGTAGGTGGGAACAGAGGGTGTGATGGAGGATTACTGGGTTTTTGGTGGTGGTTGTGGTGAAATAATATGCAATTATAGCGGCGTAAACCTCTACCCCTAAGACAGATACTGTCATGTAAATCAACAATGTCAATAAATATAAGTTTAAAAAAAACAACAAAAAGAAAATGAAGCCAAATCAAGACTTTGAATGCAGCCTGATGACAACATGAAGCAGAGAATGCAAGTCTGCCATGACCAGAATCCTGACCCGTGAAAACTGTGAGATAAGTTTGTTTTTTAAGA